TAAGTCTTTTGTTGTCTCACTGCCCGGCGACCCGTATTTGGCGCACGTGTCGCGTGCGTTGAATGTTCGGACAGGATCTGAAACTTTACGTAGTTCGTGCCGGCAACACCGCCGGACCATTTTGGGTCCCGTAAAAAGAGTGTAAGCGTCCTCACTGAAACGTCGTGTCGCACACCGGTGTACAAGATGATTTGCCCTATCCTGGAAAGTGGATGACGTTTGTGAATGTACACATTCTATGGCGGATTGGTCCGTCGTTCTACACAAGTACGGTAATTACGTTTCGATCAAAACCCGCTCCCTTAAATTAACCCCGCCCCCCCCCCCCCCCCCCCCCAAGAGTTCTGAAGCCTGGTGGTTACTTGAATGTTCGAGATATGGAGCTACCTCCTGGCTGTAACGATGGTTCCGTTAACGAGGAGTCGTCCCGTTGGAAGCGGCACAGGCTCCTCCAAGAGGCCGCCGATAAGCTTGGGCGCCCCCCTACATTGACTAGGAAAGCAGATGGAAGCCATGAAGGAGGCCGGTTTCATCAACATCACGCCCAAGGATTATATCTTGCCGCTCAACTCATGACCAGCAGACCCTCGTCTGAAGGAAATTGGTCGGTGGCATTGTATGAACATCGACATGGGCCTTGAGGCGCTTTCTCTGGGACCGCTTACTCACGCTTCGGACTGGTCTAAAGGGAGACGTCCTTGTGCTCTGTGTTGCCGTGCGAAAAGACCTGCGGAACAGTAAGATGCATTCATAATGGAACGTGTATGTCTTCTATCAGACTGCGAGTTTCCCAAGGACTGTCGTTTTTAACTCTTGCAGCCACGTTGTCTACGCCCGGAAGCCTAAGGAAGAAGAGGCGGCGGAGGGGACTGAGGAGGCCACAAAAGGGGCAGCGTGAGAGGCCAAAAGATCATGGGTGACTAGCTGAGAATTGCGAGATGCAACGTGGCAGCTTAGTATATGCGCTTTGTGTTGACATCCACCGCTGCCGATTCACCTGGCTTAGTGTCTGGCCTTTCAACCAGATGCGAGGCCGTGCTAAAAAGAAAACCACAAGGTTGTATACCTACCAATGGCTAGATTGACTTTAATAGGACCCGCTGGTCTCCTAAAGTGGGTTTGAATCTGATTCAACTATGGCTCTGCCCGCAGTCCGACGGCAGAGCAGTTAAAGCATTATATTGATCGGCGTCGGGCTCGGTGCCTTGCAGATCCCCACATCTCCCCCGGCGTCGGATCGTGTGGAGCCCCTTCCCCAGAGAGCTTGGCGACTACCTTGGTGCTAGCAACATCTCCCAGACGTGTCATGGTTGCGGTAACACAGTTGTAGGAGGTAAATCCCTCTTGAACTGAGGCAGGTGCGGACATCCAATTTCTCCTCCGTCTGGATTAAGAGGGCTTCAAGGGCGACTTTGAGTTCTCCGCCTCATCCGGGAAAGGTGTTGCGGTCGCAACGTCGAAAGTGGACCGGCGGCATGGGTTGTTTATGCCCAGCGATGCCCAGCGTGAGCACGCGGGTGCAAAGATAGAGTCAAGGTTAGGAAAGACATAAGGACAACGTAGGGATGGATTCTCTAGAAACCAATAAACGAGCGGACCATTTGGTAATCGAGTTACGACCTTTTCGGAGGCCGTCCGAGGATGCCTCATCGTCATGGTTGGCTGTAGGCTGTAGCCATAGACCTATGAGCGATGAGCCTCGGTGCGCCTGGAATTTCGTGAATCGTGAGTGCGTGTGGTAGATATGGTTCTCAAGAACGAAAAGACGATGGGCTGCAAGATTAATTCGGCTATTTTCCAGACCAGGCTAGATGCAAATTGCATTGGTATCTCGATTACTTTTCAAGAACGGAAGTCCAGTCGTTCTGCTTAGCCCACTCCTCCCAAGCTGTCATGGGACAGTCGATACCAGCCTGCGTCAGTCAGCGTTATTCGTTCTGGGGTGTCCCATGATGCGGGTTCTTGGGCCGTCACCGCTGATTGGAGTCTTTACCTCCCTAAGATCCGCTGCAGTCAAAAGATCCATGCCGCCGTCATAGCCAGGGTCGGACGAGTAGGAAAACATGTAGGCGACTTCGATGCCCGTGTCTCGCTCTCCCGTAGCCTCAATCATCTCCTCGGGCGAAATCTGCTTGTAGTCGGCCTTGACGCCCGTCACCTTGGCCCATGTTTTGAGGAATTGCGGCCAGGTACAGGTTGTTCCTTCCGCCATATAAGCCTTCCCTGGTGGCATTTGGGACACTGCATAGGAAAAGTTGCCCATGTCGCTGGCCGGGGCGAAGTGAGGGATGGGCTTGTCTGGAGAGGTGGTGAAGGCCATGGTAAAGGTATCATCGGGGTTCTTCTTGAGCATCAGCATCTGAAATCAAAGCACGGCATAAAAGTCAAGGCACACCTTTCTGAAGTATGAGTTGGGCAGGATTCGATAGCTTGTGTAGAAGAATCCGGTATGGATACAAGACATCTTGGCCGCCAACGCAGGATACTTGGCATTCACATAGTCGGGAAAAATATCGGCCTTGGCATCGAAATGGTACAGCTCCTTGAACCGCCCGCCACTGCACCTAGCAGCGTGGCTCAGCGTCGAGACCAGAAACCCGTTCTCGTCGAGCGACTCCACCGTCGTAGCGGCGGCGTCGGCGATGTTGCGGCCCTGGCGATACTCGACGTCGTAGGCGAACCTTCGGCACGAGATGCCCTGCTCTTGCGCCTTTGCGCGGCAGTCGGGACGGAAAAAGGGCTCCCAGTAGTTGGTAACGCTGAAGATGGCGTTGGCGCCGCGGAAAGCCTCCTCTAGGGAGACGACGTCCTCAAGGTCGGCGTGGACAAGTTCCAGGTCGGGGCCGAGGGCGGCCAGGGCGGCGGCGGAGGGGGAGGCGGAGTCACGGGTCAGGGCGCGGACGCGGTAGCCGGCGGCCAAAAAGCGGCGGGCGACGGAACCGCCCTGATTACCAGTAGCACCGACAACGGCGATGAGTTTCTTGGCCATGGTCGTGAGCGTCGAGGATTGGGAGGGAGATCTGCAAAGGGGCGGTGAGGGTTCGGTGTCGATGGAGTGCGGCGGGCAGAGCAGCAGTGGTGGTATGACGGTTACCTAACTAACCTACGGGAGTACCTAGGTAGGAGATAAGATAGCCCGCAGCAACGCCACGCGACTTGAACTCGGGATTGGTTTCTTCGGGGATCCTGGAGTTCATGTACTCTACGATTTCCTTGTGGTGGAAACTGATGAGACCACACAGCCAAAGGGGATCAATATCGGCAGCAAAGAAATACGATGCTCCTCCACTTCCATTGCGGCCCCTTCCCTGTCGCTTGCTTTCTCGACAACCCAGACCCTCCTAACGATAGGCACTAAGACTAGCCGGAGCCACTGAGTGAGACTAACGGGTCACTAGTTTAGTTTACATACCAGTGCCTACATGATGGTATGTCAGACCCATGCATAGCATATCTACTCTACCTATCCGTACCTAGTACCCACCGAGTACAAAGGTACAGTACATACTCCGTACAAGCACTCCGTTCTGTACCCAAAGTGTGATATCGAAGCATCGAAACGGGAGCGAGGCCCACCCGTGTCTCTCGAGTCGCGTACAATGGGCTGAACCCTTGCCAAAGAAAACACGTGCCTAATAAACTAGGAATATACGGAGTACTGTTAGGGTAGGTGGGAAGGTGCGAACGTTGCGGTCGAAGCGGATTTCGGGCAAGTACCTTCTGCCCGTCCCCATCCCCCCCTCCTTCCTGCTCATTAGTGTCCCGCCCGTGCTTCTACGCGGTACGCTTGTATGGACTTTCTCTTTTCTTTTCTTTCCCCTGCCAGGCTTTTCCCCCTGAATCCCTACGGAGCTGGATCCCTGGGTGATCCGCACTTTCCCGCGCGGACTTTCCCCTCCTCAATGGTCTGCGCTTTCCCTTTCTCTCTTCCTCTCGAGGTGGAGTGGCATTTCGCTGACCAGTCAGTGTCCCTTCTCTACTTCAAAGAGTCTGGACTCTCCCGCCCTTCATAGTTTTTCATAGTTTACATCTCTTCCGCTTTTCAAACAGCAGCAGCAGAGTTTCATAGCAAAACCCTTCCATCCTGGAGGATTCCCTGCACGCACGTGGCCGCCGATCTCTCTCCGCATTCGATGACGTCGACACCGTCAATTCCCGTCGGTTCCAATGCCGTGGACTCGGGTTCGTCGATGGACGGGCCCCTTAGCGCCGACACAACAACCACACAACCTTCGACGCCGTTGACCACCGATACGGCGTCTACCGAACCCCCGCGTGCCACGGCGCCGACCAGTATCCAATACCTACTCAACCCCGCCCAAGATGACGCCGTAGCACCGCTCCAAGTCGATGTAATATCCCCGCACATGCCCTGTTCATCCCAAGACCGGGATATGCATGCTGACTTACGACCGCGCCCCTGCCCTACAGAACGAGATTGAAAACACCGCCGCAGATAACGATTCCGCCTACGGCTCCGACAGTGGAACCGCCTACACAGGCTCCATCTCCTCTTCCATTTTCCATTACCAGTACGAGAATGGCCGCCGCTATCACGCCTACCGCGAGGGGCAGTATGTCCTCCCAAACGACGACCAGGAGCAGGAGCGTCTCGATCTGCAGCATCACATCTGGCGCCTGCTGCTCGGCGGCAACCTCTTTACCGCGCCCCTGCCATCTCCCGACCACAATGACGCCGCCGGCATGCGCATCCTCGACCTCGGCACCGGCACCGGCATCTGGGCCATAGATATGGCCGACGAGTTCCCTTCCGCTCACATTTACGGTGTTGACCTCTCGCCTATCCAACCCGAATGGGTCCCCACCAACTGCAAGTTCCACGTTGACGATTATGAGGACGAGTGGACGTACCGTGAGGACGAGCGCTTCGACTACATCCACGGCCGCGCCCTCAGCGGCACCTCGTCCGACTGGGCGAGGTTCTATGACCGCGTTATGGGCGGCCTCAACCCGGGCGGCTGGGTCGAGATGCAGGAGTACGACGCCTGGATCTTCAGCGACGACGACAGCTTTGACAGGGCCGTGTGGACCAAGGAGTGGGTCACCAAGCTGGACGAGGCGAGTAAACTGTACGGCAAGCAGATCAACGTTGCAAAGTACCACAAGCAGTGGATGATTGAAGCCGGCTTCGAGGATGTACAGGAGTTCGTGTACAGGGTAAGTCTTGCCCTGCGAGAGAGCGACCCTCCCCTGCAGACGGTTATACTATGAAAAGAAGACGAGAAGAAAAACACTGACGCTCATTCCCAGATACCTATCGGTCCTTGGGCCAAGGATCCGGCCCTCAAGGAGCTCGGCCGTTGCGAGTTGGCTCACATGCAGATGTCGGTTGATTCGCACACGCCGGCTCTCTTCACTCGAGTGTTGAACTTCAGTCAGGATCAGGCCAGAGTGCTGATGGAGGGCGTCAAACGAGAGTTTAGGAGCAAAGACTTCAGGCTCATCACGTCTTACCGCTTCATCACAGGGAGGAAACCGATTGCATGAAAGAGACGTATAGGCTAGCACCATCCTTTGGGTTGCCTTGAGATGTGCGAAGGCTTGAGCGACTGAAGACTTGGATATTTTTTACTGGAAGTCAGTAGTCCTCCAGATCAACAAACACCAAACTAGGTGTTTACTTTTTTTCTTCTTCTTTTCTTTTATCCCCCATTTGCCACAGCGAGTACCCGCTGAGTTTCCCCATTTGTCTGTTACCAACTACATACAACTCTTTTGTAATGAGTTGGTACTCAATGATCATAGCACCCACCCAGACGATCAAACTATAAAAGACTACGAATTATTACGATGACGACACTGGGCTTTACACTACACTATAGTTACTTAAAAGTCCAAGGCCTAGTTCCAGGCCTCAAAAGTTAGTGGAATATCAAAACCGTTCTGTACTCGCGGGCATCAGCAAGCGAACTTTGGCCCCCAGGTAGTCGCGCCATGCTGGTGCTCCACTAATTGGTTGACGCGCTTGACTATCTACTACAAGGCAGCTAGCTGGTGATTGAAAGTGTTTTTGAACTTCATATTACACAATTGTGCCCATTTCAGCAACATGTTATAGAATTGAGGTCGTTGGTAATGCCGCTGAGAGTCTGCTCTTTCAAAGAGCATATGGGCTCCTCATCGCCACAGCCCCCTCCAACTTCGCTCCAGGGCAACGGGGACGGCGGGACTCGTGGCATCGACGCGTTGAATGCACCGGTTTGCATAGCCACGCGTTATGCCACCAACAGTCCAGAATCGACCAAGCCGTATGAGCCAAGTCTATTTGATTACTGATCGGCCAATGCTGCGGCCTTGGCATGGTCGTGACGAATTTGGACACGGTGAGCCTCAAGTCATGCAGCCAGCATATTACCTAGGCGCCGACCCAGCTTATTCCCAAACTCTCTCCCACCGGTCCATGACCAGCCCGCCCAGAAACCCGGTTACGGTCCCACGGACACGATCGCTGCATCTCAAAACCGCCACATTTCCAGGGCCTTTTTTGAGCCAGTTTACCCAAATCCCGGTGCGCAGAAGAGGGGTTTGCATACTGCGTGCATACAAGCGTTTGTGTCCACACCTACGCCTTCCTCCCGCAGGCGGCTATGCCTATTCCGGGTGGAGTCAGCGCAGGGCATCATTCGATGAATGCCCAGACTTCCCAACCACCCCTTGCCCGATAACCTCCCCCCCCCTTTAGTAGGCCCAACCGCGGGGTAATATCTCACTCATCTTTGTTGTCGTATTTGTTCCGCTTTCCTGGCCCGCCCGCCTTCCATTCATCGTGCCATTGATAGTCCGGTTCGTAGGCACTATTAAGAGGAACGCGAGAACTGTGACAGTGGGCGAAAAGGAGAGAAGGCAAGCGCAGGTGTCGTGGGGTTGCGGTCTCGCCCAATCAAGACTGCTTCGAGTTTCTGTTGGTGCAGTTGGTAAAGCGCATTGGTTGCTGCTTTTTTCCCATTTTCCAACCGCGGTGACCAACAGATAATTTTCACTGACCGTCTCCACGATTCTCACCTGTCCCTCTTCGAGGTATTGTCGTCTGCGGGTGCGGACTTCTCTCGGTTTCCGTTCCCTTTCGAAGAGAAGAAGCGATGATGTCTGTCTGCAGCTCAAAGTCATTGTAAAACATCAGCTGGTCCAGAGAGTTCTGCTTTGTATAAAAAAAAACCAGTCCAGTTGATTTGCGAGCCTCCGGTTCCCTAACATGTCGGCCGCAGATGCACCTCCTGCATCCGCCGTCGCCGAGACCGAGCCCGCACTCGACTTCGACAACGACTCCGCAACGACAAGCGCTGATGAGGCGAGCGACAGCGAGTCCGACTTGGATTCCTCCCTCGGCGCCGACGTGCAGCCGTCCACCATGTCTCTCCGAAGCAGTATCCTCCGTTACCGCGAAGAGAACGGCCGTACGTATCACGCCTACAAGGACGGCGCCTATCTCCTGCCCAACGACGACCTCGAGCTCGACCGCCTGGACCTCCAGCACAACCTGTTTCTCCTCACCATGAGGAACAGGCTCCACCTGGTCCCCCTGGATCGCGAGAACCCGCCCCAGCGCGTGCTGGACATCGGCACCGGGACCGGCATCTGGGCCATCGACTTCGCCGACAACAACCCGGCCTCCACCGTCATAGGCGTCGACCTAAGCCCGGTGCAGCCGTCGTATGTACCGCCCAACGCCTACTTTCAGATCGAGGACATCGAGGAGCACCCATGGACCTTTTCGCAAAAGTTTGACTTCATCCACAGCCGAATGAACACGGCCGGGGTCCGAGACTTCCCCGCTCTGTTCCGGCAAGCCTACAGGAATTTGAACCCGGGGGGGTGGATAGAGGTTACCGACAGCACACCTGCTGCGTGCGACGACGGGACCCTGACAGAGGACTCGGCGCTCATCCAGTGGTGCCAGCTCCTGGCAAAGGGGACCGCGGCTCTGGGCACGCCGTTTGGTGGGGCCTCAAAGTACAAGGACCAGCTTCGGGAGGCGGGGTTCGTAAACGTGAACGAGGTCGTCTTCAAATGGCCGACAAATGAATGGGCCAGGCATCCTAGGCATAAAGAGCTGGGTGAGTTCTATCCCATAACCCCCTCCGGGGACCGAATGAACACGAAAACTTGGTTCCTTTTCGATCCACCATTCCAGGTGCGACCGTTACAACGTCGTAGATGACTGACTACCTGGCAAGGCACTTGGAGCCACGAGAACGCCATGATGGGCCTAGAGGCCCTCTGCCTTGCTATCTTCACCCGTGTGCTGCTGTGGCCGAGAGAGAAGGTCGACGTTCTTCTGGCGGAGGTGCGGAACGATTTGAAAAACAAGGAAATACATGCATACTGGCCAATGTGAGTATAATCCGATCCCACCCTGTCTAGGTCCGGGCTAAAATTATATCATAGCTACGTGGTTTATGCACAAAAACCGTTATGAAGCATTTGAGATCTGGGCATCAAACAGAAGAAAAAGGTTAAGCGAAACGAATACCCGACTCGGTTTAGTCTCACTAGCATCCTGATACGTTGGTTCACTCAGACCCAGAACATATAATAAGTGATTCCAACTGTACGGGCAGAATAAATTTTGTAGTCTTCACATTTGTTCTCTATTAGATGAATAATATCATGTAATATATACCTCTGTCCACCGTGGATATTAGTCTGGGTTGCGAGCCGATGTGGCACCCAGGTCGGTACGTGCACAAAAGACTTGAAGGCTTCAGCAGAGCACACGGTCTCACCTTCTATAGTTTTTATTCTCCTCTTCCAGCCTGTTGCCAACATGCAATCGCCCTACCTATATCACGATCCAAACATCTCTACGCGCGATGATGTCTCATTCGAAAAGAAGCGGGCTGAAACTTTTATCCTCAGTACTTACAAAGTTGAGTCACTTGGCAAACTTTCAACGCCGCCACAACATTGGTTCAACCGCAAAAATCCTCAATTAGACCAAATCCAAGTAAGAATCAATGGCCCCCTAGGCGGCTTTTATATATGGCTCGTAGGCATAGTGTCAGCTACACCTATATGTGACATCTCTTTTTGAGATTCAGAAATGATATGCTCCAGGTAGTAAGTTGGAATCATCAATGACTCGTCACCAGGGGTTGGAAACAGCAGCCCCAGTCATTGGATTCTAGGACATCCTATGATCAAGAGATCGGTCTTTACTGAAAGCTGAATCACTTTGTATCACAGGAGGCCAATGGCCGACAGTCTTGATGTTTTTAGGCCGTGGGCCATGTCTGCTGTAGATGTGCCCTTTCATCCCCCCACTGCTTGAGACGCCAAAGCCTCACAAGTCCAAAGCTACGGCTAGGGTAGCCGCCAAAGCCAACGCAAAGACCGACTGGCCACTCTTCGCCCGTCCTGGCGTTCCGTCGCTTCTTATCGGCTCGGCGCCCGACAGCGGATTGCACCGGGAATCCACGGACTGTGGAAACATCACCACGGTACCGTTTCCGACATCTCCTATCGGCATCGCTGCGGTTGCGTTACCCTCAAAAGTGAACGGCTTGTTAGTGAATCCGTCTCTCCTTCCGACCAGCACTTCGACACTGCGGAACGCGACGGATGGCGCATCCATTGCCAGGAAGTGACCCGATGTAGATACCGCAAGGTAAGTCAACCCTCTCTCGGAATGCACTGTTCCCATCACGCCTGCGCCGGCAAGGGTCTCTGGGTTGTTGTTGTTGTGGTAGGGCACATAAAGCGGCGCCGTCGGCTTCGTTTGGAATCCCATTTGTCCGCCCCAAGTCAGGTTCTGGATTGTAAGAAGCGTGCCGTCGTCGATGAGGATAAAATCCTTGGTGCCGTGGGCCAGAATGACGTTGTGCGTCCTGTCGATGACGTTGGGCAGCACAGGCTGGCTACCGGGCCCTTCTTTGATGGAGTTGTCGGTCTGGTTGATGAAGACGGGCGTCTCTGTGCAAAACACCCATTCTTTATCCACGGGGGCGTTAATGGCCCGCTTCACGTCCTCCCTGTTGAAATACACGGGCCCGGACCCCTTCGCTCTGTACATCGAGCCGTCGCTGAAGCCTAGGGGGTCGTACTTGAGCGGGCACAGGTTGGTGATGGTGTAAACGCTGAAACAGGGCGTGATCTCCGTTGCGGCCGCCTGAACCATGCTCCAAACGTCGCACCCCGGCTTGACGTTGCCATCCTCATCGACACCCGGAGGCATCCCCGGCTGCAGCTCTGTGGGCGGATAGACGAGGTACTTGCGCATATAGTCGTCGTAGCCGCATTTCTGGCTCGCATCCTTCACCGTCTGACGGAAAGAGTCGTTGAACGCGAACACATCCTGCCACCGATCGACATATGAAGCCACCGGGATCTCTTCGGTAACACTGTCGACCGAGTACACTCCGTCAAAGACTTGCATCCCAGCGACATCGAAGTATTCCTTGTTGTTACTGTCGAGCATGGCGCTGGCGATGTACGGGCAGTACATGCCGCTGTAAGAGGAGCCCGTCACGTAGACCTTGTACCCCTGCATGGCGAAGGTGTCAACAAAGTTGCGCCAGAAGCCGAGGAATTGTCGAGCGACGTCGAATTCGTCCTTCGCATTTGGCGTGCCCTGGGAAAAGCCCGTACCGACAGGCTGATCTATCCAAACGACGTTGGTAATTCGATGCCAACTCCACTTGTTTTTGATGGGCTTGTACATGCCGGGTTGCCAGAGCATGGGACCATTCAGCGAAAGAAGCTCCCCGGTTGAAGAGCACCCGGGCTGCGAGTTGCAAAATCAGTAACCGTTATATACGGCGTGTGTGTCTTTGACTTACACCTCCAGTCAACCAGATCAGAATCTCTTTGTCCGCCACTTCTCTCGAGGATGGGAAGAACCAAAAGTACAGCTTCCCGGCCGTATCATTGTTCTTGTCGATGTTGAGCAGTCCCGCGTACGACTCGCCAACATCAAAGTCGACTTCAGGTAACGCAGTGCCGTTGACCACGAACTCTGTGCATGTCGAGGTCAGATTTGCGTTTGATTAACGGGAGACAAGATACACACTCCGAGTCTGATTGGTCAGGAACTTTGGTTCCTTCTGTATCTTGTTCACGACATGATGGGGGCTATCTTCCTCCGGACTCGGGAACTGCTGTTGCGAGAATGATGGTTTGTACTGTTTCAGGTTCAAGGTAGCAGAAACAGCCACAGGAAGCAGAAGGGCTGCGTGAAGCCAGCGCATATTGTACGATGGCGCCGTGTGGCGTGAGGTTGGGTTGTCGATACCCTTTTGCCTGAGCTCAAAGATTATAGCATCACCCTCGGCAGCGTGTCGGGCAGATGATGGTGGAAGTGGGGTTGAAACGGTTTTTGAGCTGGCTTTTATTGAGTCACGCCAAGTACAATTAAACATTCCCCGGAAAGGCACGATGCGCGTTTCAAAGAGTGCCTGCGGAGGGGACAAGCTCGGGCCCGAGAAACGCTTCAACGAGAAACGCACATCAGTATCACCTTATCTTGGCTTTGCCCGCGCTTGTACCACTTCACATGGGGTCGTCGGACGGAAAGAGCTTATTTCATTCTAAATGGCCCCGGGCAATATTCCAGTGAAGGGGGGCCAATGATGTCGGGAAACCCTGGCATGGCGGGTTAACATATGACTCGGCTATGCTGATCGTGCGGGTGGTGTTGTGGGCCACACACAAATTAGCTTCTTGCAGTTCCAAACTTAGATTGTTTCGGCAATCGACTGCGACTATTGTTTATCAGATTGTAATACACCCGTTGATATTCACTGACACAATCAAAAACGGATGGCAATTCGAACATGCAGCTCCTTCATCTGACCCTGGTGATAGTGGTGTCGCGCTGGTTCATTTCTGGTTTCATTTCTAGTGATGTTTCTGTCGCAAAGTTATTGCACTGGCAATAACCTTGCGGACTCTGTTCAGAGTAAAGTCCGCAGTCCGCTTTCCCTTATCACTTGCGGAATTGACACAACTGATAGCGGTGAAGAAGAAGGAAGACGCAACCATGTTATGAGGAAGCTGAGTCACGAACAGAATGATCTCAGCTTTGATAACCTCGGCATAGACAGCTTCAGGTGTCAGGGACTGGAAGGGCCACACCAGTGGGAGGCCTTTAGTCAGTTGATTGAGGGATTTAAGGGCGCTTTTGGCCACGTAGGGCAGGATAGATTCGAATAATTTTACAACACTACACCTACCTTCTAGCTGAGTGGCCCTATCGTTGACTTCCTCACTCTAAGCCAGACCTGCCCTGACATCAGGCTACATTGGTTGAAGTTCATAAGCTTTCTAGATCCGACAATGGCAATACGATAAGAATCAAGGCAATAAAACAAAGCTTGATATTATGTCATGTATAGAAGCTCATGGTATAGTGAAAGCAAACTATATTCCCAGGTTTATTCTGCGTGAATTAAAGTCACCATGTCAATATAATACTTCTTTCAATGTGAAGTTACTTCAGTCATAATCTAACCAATGACCTAGTAAAAGCAACATGTCCCAGGGTCCACGGAAGAAACCGAACAGGACTCGGCATCCGAAGTCCTCCTCAACTAGACTAACAGAGCGTCTGAGGCGACAAAGTGGAAGGTCCTGCCTTGCATGACGCATGGTGTTAAGCTGTGCTTTTGTATTGTCAAGTATCTGTGCGACGCTATAAGGGACCTCCGTGGCTACGTATCTCATTACATGCTGTTTAGCTTCATAAGCACTAATGTGTGGACAAGTTCGGTGAACGTTCTCATCCAATATTTACAACAGCGATTATACCACATGGATTAAATACATGATGCAGCATGTATCACACAGTATCAAACTTGCTACAGTGTCGCTCATGGCGTTGCGTGTTTCTTCCAACAGTATGTTGTGGACAAATAGACGGTCTAAGCTCTCGCAAGTTTTGTTCTGTTGAGCTGTTGATGGATATAGTCGCTCTATACCCCCGCAAGCGGTCTAGTGCAGTTCACCCAATACATATGTAGTATCACAGTACGTAAAAGCACGATACGCGGCACCTCCGACCTGTGTCATATCTCAATCTCTCAATGACTGCATGCGCGAACGATCTTTGAGCGCTGGAACGTCAGCGACAACCGGCGATGATGGTACTGTTGAATCTGCCACCAAGGTCGTGATGGTGACGAGGTGGAATTGGCAGGCCGGCCGGCTGCCGAAGTGAAAGTCGCATTTGGCAGAAACTCTACACAGACATGTTACGAGGCCATAGGCCCGTTCTATTGAGTTATATCTGGTATGGATAGGTACTTTATCTGGATCATTTACGCTCTGAGGAGAAATTCATAAGGATTTGATACTGTCTAATATAGTTATTCCTTGGTGAAGACTTCCAGCTCACGCTAAAAAAGCTGCGAGATCCAACCTTGAAATATGTAAAGTCGATTGCGAACAAAATTTGATGAAGTGAAAGGTATGATAGAGAACCAAGATTGAGGCATATGCAAACGCGGCACTCGAGAAGCTGGCGTACATACCAGGGGATAATAATTTCATTAATTATGATACAATCGTCGAACAACTAGTCAAAACATTCAGCGCCCACAATAGGATTACATCAACCTTAAAGGCCAAGGACTCGAAAACTCGTCATAAATACACTGATTTAGGCCTCACAATGCTAGAGTATATATAGAGATTATTATGTCGACCAAAAGACCCGGTTCTCGAACTCCCTTCAATACCCGAATGAGGACAAACAGTCTATCAACTTCTCCTCCGCCGCCTTTCTCATCTCCGTAATCTCCTCTGGCGTTTTTCTCTTTAACATGGCCGGATGTTCCAGCGCAAAGGGACAAAGCAAGTCTTCAAGCCTTCTCAGCTCGTCGAGAGCAGATATACCCTCAATCTCACTTGGTCTCAGCGCCCCCCTCTCTGCCAGCGCGTCATCCCACGCTTTGTCCCTGGCCAACTGCTTAACGGCTTCTTCTGGGATATCGGGAATGTCGAAGTTGCCTGTCATGATAGCTTTGCCTAGCCGACCGTCGCTGAGGTCCGGGTCGCGCCCAGTGCCGCCACCGGTGTTTCCGCCTATGTCGCCAAGGGAAGTGAAGAATTCGTGGCAGGGGTGTGATACGAAGGCCCAGTCGAAGTCGAGGACCGCCGTCACCTTCTTTGTCTTGGGATCGTAAAGCATGTTGTTCGTAGCTGACGACCGATGTAAGTTTTCTCAACATATCGAGATGATGTGAAGTGATGTGGAAAAAAACTCACTTAGATCTCCGTGGATAAGATTGCGCCTTCCGACGTCCACGCCGGATTCGTCGAGGAACTTTCCAAGACCCACGGCTAGAAACTTGTCAATACGCTCTCGGACGCCGTTCGGTTTCCAACCGTCCAAAGCCGGGCTCACGCCAGCATCTTTGATACGGAGCGCCAGCCTTGCCTTCCAGAAAGCGTTGTATGACTCCCAATGCCCGCCTTTGAGCGTGGTCATCTGACCGCTCACAATATTCCCCTCTACATTGATCGTCATGCCTCCATGACCCAGAATGCTCTTCGGTAGCGGCGACTTTTGGATGCCCGTGAAGATATCCGCAATCTGTCCCAGCACCTCCTTCATGTCCTCGATAGGCATGTCCCGAAACACTCTGTCAAGCGGCACGCCATCTTTGAACTCCATCAAAGACCACCCAAAACCGGACGGGCAGTTGTTGGAAGACTGCCAGTCATACAACGCCGGGACGAGCGCCGCGGTGTCTGGTTTGGCCGAAGACAAGAGGCCCTGACGGGCGAGGTGCATGGCGGCGACCTCGTTCTCGACACGGTTTTCGTGAACAATGCCCTCTGCCTTCGGGTTTGTGAGGCGCATGATGAGGGTGGACACACCCTCCTGTGGCGGCGCCACGGTGTAGGGTCTAGGATTGGGAATGGAGGACGCGGTTGCCGGGGTCGAAAGTGTAATCTTGTAAATAAAGTTGTTGTACTCGAATGGGACGTTCTCCTCGTACTCCACGGTGGCAATGTTCAACGGCTGGGAGGTGCACGTGTTAAATGGTGGGGGGCTAAACGGGAAGGATAGTTTTACCTCTAAGCCGTAACCTTTGATGACATCTCTCACCAACTCTAGGCGCTTCTGGAACTGTTTCTGACCCATGGCGTATTATAAACGAGATGGCGTCGGCTATTAAAGAGGGTCGACCGATGACTGAGATCAATGTTTTTGGATCTCTGGATTGGAGGCTTTCAGAAGACTTCATATATCTATCATGGGCACACATTAATTACTGTCTTGAATGGATCTGAAAACCCTGCAAATATGTCGCTTTGAGTCACAGTTCTCGTCTAGGCAGGAGATCAGATTAGGCGGTGCCGATATATCCATCCGGATTCACGAGCGGCTCGTACATGTGAGTGCGCAATGACTTTCACCCCATTGACTGTTGGGATTACCAAGCAACGTCTGTGTACATAGGAGGCAATATCTCAGGATCATCAAATCGGGTGCAAGCCGGGCTGTAAAGTAACGAAGCGATATGCCGTCGGTTGGTTTGAGCTCATGATATGCAGCAACGGACAAGGCACGACCCCTGCTAGGCCCTCTGTTGCCTGGAGAAGCTCTCAGAACTGCCCAACAAGGACATGTCTGCCTACGCTGTGCCGCAAAGATACTTATGGGCGTATCAAGTATCATGCCTACTCTTAGCCAATGATAAGCTTGTCATCTTTATGACAAAGTTAATCCCCGATTGAATGTCAATCCCCAGGCCGTGAAAGTGGGGGCGTAACGGTCTAGGTCCGGACTAAGGTACGTTGCCAATGCGGCCCCTCCTAGGTCTTGGCCCGGACGGCTCAAAGCTTGAGGACGTGACGTTATCATGCTGCTTGTGCATGATTGGTAACTGTTCATATGAGAAAAGATCGCTTGGAGTTACAGGAGGAAGACCTCTCCCAGTTTGCATAAAATTTGCAACATATCAGGTCTTCATTTACATGACATTAGCAGTAAAGAGGCTGTCCAGTGAGTGCAGCCGCTTTCACCACCGCCAACAAATAGCTCTTAGGCTATGATTCCATCATCGATATCTTAAACACTTTATGAGTATGCGATACCCTCATCTCATGATATCAACTGCAGCACGCATACTTTAGACAGACTTGGACGCAACCCCGTCGGGCGACTCAAAGCACTGGCGAGACTCAAGATCCCGTCACCTCTGGACCCGACTTGCGAGAATTTGTCTTCGCAAACAGCAATACACACTTGTGGACAGCATTTAGGTGGATTCACGAAAGCAGTCTCGGCGCGTTGAACGGAGCAGAACGCAAACGCCGAGCGCCAAGGCCAGTAAATCAAATCCCGCCCGCTTATTACATAGCTGAGTGCAACCTTGCTGACCAAGTTTACCAGACATCGCCAAAGTCCAACCATCCGTCTAGACGGCCGAAATCACGTCCCACAAACCCCATTCCCGCTACGCCGGTCTCCACGTCGCTTGGGAGCATCTCAACATGACAAGGTCCAAGTAATTCGTGTATGAGGTATCCGTATTTAACCAAGGAAAGACGAACCTTGACCAAGGCCCACTAGGTCGGTTGGCCCGATCCAACGAGAATCCTCGTGTCGAAGCCAGTGAAGCCTTCACTCCAGAGTATGCTTATATTGCGAGGTCCACAAGACACTTGAAATCACCGCCTGACCTGGTCAGGATCGTCCGGTATTGTGGAGCGCGTACCAAATGCCGCAGCACAGGACGGACCTGGTGAGAAAGGTTATCAATCTCGTCTGATCAATCTCATCTTATCAATCATGTAGATGTTTTCATACGCCCCCCTACCTCAGGAAGACCTTTCCTTTGCAAGCTTTGCTGTTGGAGTGTCTGGCCATCCCCTTTCTTGACCATCGTCAACTGGCATCATGAAGCTCGTCACTCTGGCCCCGGCGCTCCTCGCGCTGAGCGAGACAGCCTCAGCCCGCCTGTTGCCCCGGTCTAACACCACGACCACGCGCAATGAGACGTACGAATACATCGTTGCCGGCGGCGGAACCGCGGGCATTGTGACCGCCGAGCGCCTTGCCGCCTCGGGCCGCAGCGTGCTCCTCGTCGAGCGCGGCGGGCCGGCCTTCTACGTGTCGGGAAATCACAAGACCGTGCCGTGGAACGACACCGTCACCATGTACGACGTCCCGGGCTTGGCCGACTTCACGGGCGCCGACCCAGACCTGCAGTACTGCAAGGACCTCGTCATCGCCGCCGGGTGCATGCTCGGCGGGTCGACGATGCTCAACGCGCTCATGTTCGTCAGGCCGCGGGCAGCGGACTTTTCGGGGTGGCCCGAGGAGTGGCGCTGGGAGAACGGGGTCGCGGCAGCGGCGGAGGAGCTGTACGAGCGCCTGCCGGGGACGATTCTGGCATCGGAGGATGGGAAGCGGTACGACGACGGGGCGTACGATGTCATGTCGCGCTTCTTGGGGGCCAACGGTTGGAGTGAGCAGAATGCGTTGAACAATGTCGAGGCGAAGGAGTTGATGTACTCGCACCCTCCGTGGTCGGTAAGTTGTGAATGCCTCCATCATCAACATCCGACATTGACTGACGGTACTTTGCAGATTGCCCACGGTCTACGTGACAGCCCAGTCCGAGCCATCCTGCCGGACGCGGAAACCCTCCCTAACTTCACCCTCGAGCTCCACGCCAAGGTCCTCCGCGCCGTGCGAGACGGCAGTCTCGTCACAGGCGTCGAGGTCGAGCACGAGTCCGGCGCCCGGGAGATCATCAACCTGACCAAGGGCGGTTCCCTCGTCCTTGCCGCCGGCACCCACTCCACGCCCCGTGTGCTCTTCAACTCGGGCATCGGCCCTGCCGCACAGATCAGCACCGTCGCCACCGGGACGACGAACATTGAGCTCCCGCCCAGGGACCAGTGGATCGAGCTGCCCGTCGGTGAGAACCTCAAGGACCACGCCATCGCGACCGTCACATTCCAGACTAAGGACGCGCTTGCTGCCCTACCCAAATCGGCGTGGACGAGCCCGGATCGGGAGTCTGTCGAGCTCTTCGCCCGCGGCAGTGGCCTATTGGCGCAGTCGGGCCAGCGTCTGAACTTCTGGACAAGCGTCAACACGACCGATGGAGCCACCCGTCATGTCCAGGGCACCGTCCGCGCCGACGGCAACAACACGATCGGCGTCAAGGTGTACCTCACACACGGCACCACGTCCGTCGGCACCGTCGGCATCACGGCCGACGGAATCACCAACATGACGCTGAGCCCGCTCCTCCACACCGAGGGCGACCGCGAGGCCCTGACCAAGATGGTCGACACGCTCCTGGGCTACGCCCGTCGGCCCGGAAGCATCCTGAGCGTTGCCAAGAACGAGACGGCGGAGGCCATCGTCGCCAAGGCGGGCAGCGGCAGCCACTACCTGGGCACCGCGCAGATGGGCCGCGAGAACGACGGCCAGAGCGTGGTAGACCCGGACACCAAGGTCTGGTGCACCGAGAACCTGTTCGTCGTGGACGGGAGTATGCATCCCGAGGTTCCCACTGGCAACACGCAGGCGCCGATCATGGTGGCCGCAGCGTTTGCCGCCAAGAGGATACTGGCTCTGAACGCAGATCTGAACAATGGTTCTTGAATGTTAAACTAGAAAGAGCAGGAAAGACATTTGGACAGTCCGGCAAAATGGACATGGGGCGTACGACAGGAAGCATATATGAGCCCGTTTCGTTCTTTGGGGTTTGTCTTCTCTTTTCTTCTCTTTGGCTTTCCCGACGTAGTAGCACTGCTGGCTGCTAGGATTGTTCCCACTCAAATCAGAGTCACCCACCGAATTCACCTGTATGCATAAAGACAAGAAAGTAAAGTTTTAGTTGTTCAACATGATATGAATTCTTGCAGTCATACCAAGTGGCCGTTTGAGAATCTTTGGCACGTGAGTGGTTGCGTTGTTTGGTAGAAAACCAGATTTTGAGCAGTACGAGTGCAAAAGGCAAACACAGCGCACTGCAGCCTACACGCGCTCCTATTGGTCTCCCAATTGTTGCTGAAACCCCCACAATGGACCTAAGCTCCTGCAGAAGAGAATTATGGGCAATGGAATCGCCGCACTCTTCATTAGAGATGTTATTCTCATAACATGGTTTCGTGGTGTAGTTGGTTATCACGTCAGTCTAACACACTGAAGGTCTCCGGTTCAAGTCCGGGCGAAATCAACCTTTTGCTTTTTGGTGTTTGAATCTGGGGCGCCTCTGATGGTTTCGAAATTGTCATGATTTCCTCAACATTTTTATGGTTCTAACATGTCGGTAGTTGCTCTGCGAATCCTCCATCTTTACAGTAATAATACCATAGTCATCATGAATGTGCAAATTTCTGCACATAGCCAACAATCGATAGGTATCAAGAACTACTATTTAAACTCAGCATCTTAGCTGTCAATCACTCCCACGATCCGCCCGACAACGCGATCCCACTCTTCATCCCAACGCAAACTTCCTTCCTTCACAGCTCCCGCCTTGAGGTTCTTCAGCTCGTCCTTGCCACCCTCACTCAGCAACCTGGTTAAGGCCTCAGCCAACTCTGTGGCCGTCTCAAAGCCACATCCGTTTACGCCCTCCTTGATCAGTTCGGAGAAGCTCTCGTACGCAGAGTATGCTGCTACAGGCAAACCCGAGCCGAACATATCGACTACCTTCATCGGCAAGTCGACACCAGAGCTAGACATGTGTAGACAGACACCAAGGTCGGCACAAGCGAGGAGCGTGGCATACTCGCGAGTAGACAGCCAGGCGGTCAATATTGTGATGCCGGGGAGCTTACCCTCGAGGCGAAGGTTCTTAATCTTCTCTTCGTACTCGGCCTTTTGGGGTCCTTTGCCAGTGATGATGGCTAGAATCGGAGGCCTGCCTGCGCTGCTTTCGGTGACGGCTTCTTCGGGGTGCGCATAGGCGACGAGGGCGTCTAGGAGCAAACCAAAGTCCTCGTCGGGTGTCCAAGAGGTACTACTGACGATGAGACGTGTAGTACCGGCGACGATGCCTTGAGCAAAGTTCTTAGTCTCTTTGAGCCCCGAAAGAAAATTCAAGCGAGCATCGGACGATCTGATGGGTTGAAACACCTCTGCGGGACGGTCATGCAGGGTGAAGATGGGCTTCTTGTTGCTGTAGGGCTTCGCCTTGAGCTGGCGCGCCATGGCATCGGTGACAGTAAGGTTGGCGGTGGGCACAATCCTGCCAAAGTAGGTCTCGTACTTCTTGTAGAGCCAAACGAGGGGGTTCTTCTGGCTGCGGCCGGTCGCCATGATGGACCAGCCATAGTTGTGCCAGTCGATGAGGAGGTGACTTCCCCTCAAAAGAGATACAAGCAGGGCCAAGTGCAAGGTCGGGATGGACGGGGGGTTCTAGGAGAGTCAGCCATGCACATCATAAGGTGATGATTCGCCTACCTGGATAATGATCCATCGGGCCGGAGGCGCCGTGTAGGCCAGGACATAGAAGATGGACCAACTCTGCCAGATGACCTTGGCAGGCTTATTGATGAAGAACGGCAATGTATTCCATTCAAACACAGTTGGAAGGGAAGGTAGGGGGTAGAGAGCCACTCGCTCACTGCCAACGAGCCCCGGGTGGCGGGCCGTTTCCTTGTACCCGACAAGGTCGACCCTGCCTCCATGCTTCATGATACTCAGGGCGTGGTATTGCATCCGAGGGCTGCGGCCTATGTCGCCCAACACCAAGATCTGGATGTGATCATCTTTGGGGTCTTCGGCTGCGTGGTAACGGGTTGGAAGCAGGCGCGTGAAGAGGTTGATGCCCAAGGCGGCGACAAGAGTGGTGAAGATGCCAGCAAGGACAGAGGCCACGAGAGGCACAATCGACATGTTGGCGAGGTGAGACGGCTAAGCATGCGGTTGTGCGGAATTCGTCGCGTGAGCTGAGGCAGTCGGCCAGAAGGGGTGATGAATGATGTGGTGGAGATTCAAGATAGTCGCCAACCATCAGATACGCTGGTGGTGGTGGTGGTGCTATTGCTTATGCAACCTGTCATCTGAAATTGCAATACAGCGTTCTTGGCACATGAGGTGCCTGGACAGGTAGATAGGCGGACGGCGGGGACCGGGCCTCGAGGCTTTTTTCTTTCTTGATTTTCCAAGCAAGTGAAGTTGGAAAAAAAAATACAAATTGCCCAGAGTATCGCGTGACCGACGATGGCCTCTCCTCTGAGGACCGAGGATGTACTACTTGACAGGGCAGGCAGGCAGGCTAGACACCCTATCGTCTTCGTTCGCGCCTTCCAACTTGGGATGGGCCTTTGCGATGTTGCAACGGTGGCGCCAATCAGTGGCCGCCGCACCCGATAGCAGAGCTTCAGGGAGTGGAGGGGGGAGGGAAAGTGTCACGTGGCTGATGAGACAGTCGCTCGGTACGTACCTAGATGCCTAATTACCTAACTCTCTCTTCTGTGTGCAAGAGACAGTCGATGAGATAGATGATCCTCGTCGGTTAGTATCAGAGTGCTCTTCACACCTTCATAATCTGCACAACTGCCATTACCTTGCGTTTTGGAAAAGGATAACTCGACCCTCCTTTTCGTCACCCAATCAATCAAAAACCATATGTCGCACATGCAAAACCGACACAGACCACCGGAAGCCTGAGCAAAATAGGGCAAAAGCAAAGACATTGATGCCTGTCTGCGACACTGCGATCCCGAACTCCTCAGACAGGCATGGCTTGCCCAGGGGGAGAACATGTCATGATGGGGACGCAACTGTAGGTACACTACATTGCAGAGGGTACCTATCTGTACAGTGGGGTGCCACAAGTCTCCTGACATATACACAGTATACACCTAAAGCACAACTTTATAGTAAGTAATATTAAGCTAACTATATATCTTAAAATTAAGGATAAAATACTTCCTAGATAGCCTTACTAAATCCCTATATATTTTATATTTAAGTACTTGTTCTACTTACTTATTAAGATAAAAAAAGAGAAAAGAAAGTATAGTGTTCTTTACTTTCTAGAGACAGTAAGCTTATAAGGGATATATACGTAGTATAAACACTATATTTTCTTAAGGTAAAAGTAAAAAACCTAAACCTATTTATTTCTAGATTTAATATATCTATTATTATATAAGTAGTATACTTATAAAAATAGTATAATATAATTTACTTTTAAACCTAATATATTGAGATAAAGTGTATTCTTTACAGTACAGTTAAGGTGGCGCACTATGAGGTGTCAGGAGACTTGTGGCACCCTACTGTACGTACTGTTCATAGGATATAGTGTATCCGTAGGTACACTACCTACCTAGATAGTGCCCGATGATAAGTGTTAGCCCCCTCGCCGCCTTCTCCGCACTCGTCCCATCACAGATTATCTATGCCCCTGTGTCACTTGCCTGCATGGGCAACTTTATGCAGCCAGCTACGAGCAGCAGCTCGGCAGCAAGCCAAGCGTTCCCTCCCCTCTTCTGAGGGTCGTCTAGTCTAATTACAATGGCGAATCACATCCGCTGCCACAACGAACGTGCCGCCGGCTTGTCCTCCCCACACGGAGAAATCTGCAGGGGATGGCTGCTGGATTCCTCATTGGGACAAGGCGCGAGATTCATCTGAAGGCGCTGAAAGGAGGCACCACCCAGCAAGCCATGCATCCCGTGAGTTTGGCCAAAAAAACAAAACACAAAATAACACATCAACGCTTGCATCCCACATTTCGCGTACTACACGTACTCTACTAGCGATTGCTCGTAGCTGCTTGTTTTTCACTCTGATCTAATTGCCTCTCTCCAGTCAGGCCTCGCCCCAACCCAACCTGTCTGCACCCGTTACTCCTAGGCTTGCCTGTGCTATTGGCCCGCACGTCCATTGATCATCAAATCTCCCGTCCTCCCCCTCTCAAAAGACTCGGCCGCCCACCAGCGTTACGATTGCGGCGCAACGTCATTGACGGGGCGACTCCATTCCGGCTGGCCATTTTAGCCTGCCAAGGTCCCCTGAACGTCGACGCTGCCGCCGCTCTCGGCTGAAGATACTACACCACGCTGTGCACACGACTCTCGCCTCCTCTTCCCCCCCGCCCCATCCCAGCTCCACAGCCTTGGATGTCTTGCGACACCGCAATTTGCGAGCCGATTTGCCGATTCACATAATCGCTGTCATCCTACATTGTCATCGTCGTCGTCGCCGTCGTCGGTATTGTCTTCGAGACGCCGCGGAGAAAATCAACAATACGGGTGACATCCAGTCGACAAATCGGGGCTATCCATGATAGGGGGGACCTAAGTACGGGGTACAGATCTCGAATCAACGGGTCTCGGTGGAGAGACGAACAAGGACAACCCAGAGAAAACACGAAAGAGTACACGAGCAACGCCCATTTTCTCTCCTGTCTCCGTCAACGTCCACGCCGATAACGACGGCGACCACGACAGCAACGCCGATTCCGACCCCGGAACTCGGCTCCCAGATCGACCTCTCCGACGCGCCGCGGTCGATATGGCCTCTTCCTACGCCTTGCCATCCTCCGCCCTCCCCCACGCCCATCATCACCACATGCATTCTCACTCGCACTCGCCGCCGTCCCTCCATGCCTTGAAGTCGACAATGTCCAACGGCGGGCTGCATTCCCACAGCCAAAGTCAAGACTCGACCGGGAGCGGCCACGCACACGATCATGGGCCGTCACACAGTCACACCCACGACGGACACTCGCACTGCCGGACGAACTCGAGCCAATTCTCTATTCCTCGAGGAAAAGCGCCGCCTCAGTCGCTCGCGACAATGGAGGGCTGGAAAACAGAAATTACACCGAGCGGACGCCAGCTGTTGACGCCCACAACTGGGTCGTTTTCGGCGACATTCCAACCTCTCGACGAAACAAAGATAGTCCACCAGCAAAACCACCACCACGAACATGACCACTCTCATGGATATTGCGATAAACACCATCATCATGACCACTCACACGCCCACAGTCACGACCACGCCAAGCCATCCTTGTTCACGAGAGCCTTGCTGAAGTACACGCCGGCCGTTCCGGTTCTCCACACCATCCTCGTAGAAAAGGACTCAAGAAGGATCTTCTACTTCATGATGTGAGTTAGCTGGCACAGTCGATGGTCGTGCCCCAACTGACATGGCGTCCGCAGTCTGAACTTCAGCTTCATGGCCGTACAGGCCTTCTACGGCTACGTCACCGACTCTCTCGGCCTGTTAAGCGACACGATCCACATGTTCTTCGACTGTTTTGCGCTCTTCGTCGGGCTTTGCGCCGCGGTTACAAGCAAGTGGCCCCAAAGCCAGCGGTTTCCCTTTGGGCTGGGAAAAATCGAGACACTGAGTGGCTTTGCCAACGGCATCTTGCTGATGTGGGTTCTATCTTCATCATTAGATGCAGCCGCATGAAGGCTAACAGATACCAGGCTGTTGAGCGTCGAAATCATCGTGGAGGCGTTTGAACGGATATGGGAAGGCCAGGAGCTCCACCGGCTAAGAGAGCTTCTCATTGTCAGTTTCCTCGGCGGCGTCATCAACCTGCTGGGTCTCTGGGGCTTCGGCCACCACCACCATGGCCATGATCACGGTCATGGACACTCGCATTCGCACGACGGACACGACCATGGGCATGATGACTCGCACGAAAAGAAGCACAGCCACGGGCACTCGCATCACAACGACAACATGGAGGGTATTTTTCTGCATGTTCTGGCCGATACGATGGGGAGCGCTTCAGTGGTGCTATCGACTATCCTGACGTACTACACGGGCTGGACATTCTGGGACCCTCTCGCGTCCTGCGCCATCGCAATCCTCATCTTCCTGGCATCGGTCCCGCTCATCAAGTCTTCTGCGCGGAACCTTCTTCTCAACGTCCCCGACGACGTCGAGTACAACCTGCGCAACACTTTGGCGGGGATTTTGCAGCAGAAGGGCGTTGTCAACTACTCGGTACCCAAGTTCTGGATGGACGACCGCGGCAACGAGGGATCGGGCGACAAGCTGCGGGGTATTGTGCACGTGGTGGCGGGCCGGGGCGCAAGCCTGGATGAAGTACGGGACCGGGTGAGGGAGCACCTCCTCAAGAACTCAATGGACATCGTGGTACAGGTCGAGAGGGAGGGAGACGCCAGCTGCTGGTGCGGAGTGGGACGGTCGACGCGCCTGGCTACGATGCCGCTCAAGAGGACCTTGTAGGAGAAGGTGCGGCGGCGATGACGCCCGAGCCGATGATTGTCGAGCCGTTGGCGGATTACGACGACAATACGAAGCGGAGCTTAGAGGAGTCTAGTCCATGTACTATTTTATTCTTTCGTGGATTAGACGGCGGAACAGGGGGGGGGGGCATAGGAGAACCGCATAGAGGCTTGGTGATAGAAATTCCCCCTATTTATTTTTTCTTGTAGAAGGACTTTCGCGAGGCGTGGCACTTGTTGGACCGTATTCCTCTCTATGCCGATCAACGGCTTGTCGTGTTTTGTGTTATCCTTGTTCGAACTCTCAGAAGACTTGGGCTTTGGCAACGTACCCTAGTCCTCAAGGAGTCCAACGAGAACAACACAAAGCGTAGCAAGCCATTTGAGTGTGGGAAGCAGCTCCTTGTGTTTTGCGTTTTCTTGTTAAGAGTCTCGGGGGACGTTCATATACACAGGAACTGGGCGTCATGGGAAGGAAGCATTGTTACAGCCATTCAGAGACCTTGCTTGAGTAGACGAACGCCGCATGCCTGTTGCGCGTGTGAGGCAATGGACAGTCAAGAAGAGAAGAGGAACAAGAGAAGAAAAAAGTATATACCCTTGTAAACAAGACTTGATGGTGCAGCTTACTGAAGGTGATGGCCGTGGAAGACGTAATCGGCGGTTCGGGACAGGGATAGAAGAAGCGTCCGTCGACCCGAGATGCGCCTGCCATCATAATAGAGTGGTGGTCTGGGGTCATAACACAAAACATGGAAGACAGAGAGCCAATCCATTATCCCCGCCCCTGCATCGGGTCGTTGGTCAAATAGGAGGTCGTGGCAGCTTGGGTTTTGCCAGTTCTTTGCCAATTTCCCATGACCTCCGTCCGCCCGGCGCAGCTCTTGGTGTTGGCCTTGTGTGGGGGGGGGTTGTCGTCACTTGACCTGCAGACCAGACCAGACCAGACCCGGGGGGTTCAATCTGGTGTGGATGGATGCGCGGTCCAAGATGGAGGACGGCGAGCGCGGGGGGGAATGCTCCAAATAGAGGATCTACAGGATGCGTGTCGCGGCGGTAAGCGGTGGTCCGAGGGGAAAGCGCCGTCTCCCCGTGGGTTTGTGTTGATGGGACGCAGAGTCTCTCCTTAGGTGCTCAAAGACAGAGAGCGGCCTCAGCAATGGCAGACCCAGAGAGCTGCACGGCGCCAGGTTAGGCGGCCAACATCTTCTAGATGTCGCCGATGTCCTGATCGCGCTTGTCCTTGTTTTCCCTCTCCAAGGCTCTGATCGCCTTCATGAGGATCAGATCGTCCCAGGTTGCCTATAGTAGATTAGAAGGCCAGAGGTTACTTAACAGCAGAGCCTATATATCAAACTTGGCCTATAGAAAGTGTTAAAACAGAGAACAAGCCTAGAACTAATAAATAGCAACTTATAATGTCAATATTAATAAGATTAATAGGGATAATAATCTTGGAGGATGGCGCTCGGTAGGTTACGCTGTTGACGGCCTTGTGATTAACGGTAAACGCACGGTTGAACCGAGGAAGCTCTCGCTTTAAAACTGAGGCGTCCGAGTGTCTCAATCACATAGGTATTGCGTTTACCGTGACGAAGATGATGACAAGCCGCATGGGAGGAATGACTGGCCTCGGCAGCTTTGTGGAATTGACTTTCGTCCCATTTACCGCTTTCCAAGGAAACCCGACTATGTGGCTGGCTTCCGGCTTAGGTGCATCCAGACTAGATTGAGCACCCCTCGTTGCATAGGTACCAGTGGTACCTGTTCGCAGGTGGCCGCCGCACACGACATGTGCAGGTTTTCTCCAGGCCGACGGCGCAGCGCCGCGTTTCCCCCGCTAAAGCAGGGCCCCGGTTTTTAGCCCAGGTCTGTCCCTTTCTCCTCCTCTCCCCAAGTGCGAGCCCCCCTTCCCCCCGGACCAAGCATTTGCGCTGTACCACAAATGAGCCGAACGACCGAGGCACCAGTGCGCAAGCGCTGAACCGGCGGCCGAGTTGCACCAGAAAGGGGAAAGAAAGTCACTTCACAGTTTTATTCCGCATGCCCGGGATGAGCTCTGTCGTAAAAAAAAGGTTGTCTCTTGGGGAAACTGTCCTTTTTTGGAATTTCTAGTTAGTCATACTGATCCTTTTTCTAGAACCACTGCACAACCTCGACATATTTGCATCTTCGTGAACCAGAGGTCACGTCCGCAAACAGAAACATCACAAGCCAGAAGACCACCAAAAGCGCTCCAATTTATCTGGAGAAATCCCCCCCAGTGGATTACACAAAAGCCGGCCCCCCCAGACTCCGGCTACAAGTGGGGACTTCAATTGGAGGGCGGGCTTGTGTGCCGAGGCTCGCTGTGACGTAGAAAGCTCACACCCATCTCGAGAAAACCACCGCCTCAACGGACAACCCAAAAACAAAACCACCACCGCCTTCTTTCTTCCCCTCCATATTCCGCACGCACGATAGCTTCCTAACCGCTGCTCGAGCAGCCCGCGCGCGCGTCAGGAACGGACCGCACGGGACTCTGGTCGGGAACCATTGACAGTCTCTTTCTGTCTCTCTCTCCCCCACAGGGAGCTATTGCGGCGCAGAGCACCACGACTAAAGTCGCCGGCACGTGAAAACTCCCTTTCCCTCGGACTTCCCTCCTCCCACGACAGCCAACCCGCCCAATACCCTCTCTGCCCTCCCGCATTCCCCATCGCGAGAACTTTCGCCTCTTTCTCCTTCCTCCCCTCTCCTCCTCCTAATCACATAACCCCGCTCGCCCGCACAATGGCGCCCTCGACCTCGGAAGCCGCCGCGGGCGTCAACGCCAAGCTCCAGTCAGCCCTCCCGAACCCCATCGCCGACAAGATCCCCCACATCCCCGAGTCCAAGGGCGAGCTCGAGGCCGACACGAAGGCTGCCGCCTCCGGTCTCGCCTCCCAGCTCCGCTCCCTCGCCGCCGGCGGCTTCGGCGGCGTCTGCGCCGTCGTCGTCGGCCACCCCTTCGACCTCGTCAAGGTCCGCCTGCAGACCGCCGACAAGGGCGTCTACTCGTCCGCCGTCGACGTCGTCAAGAAGAGCATCGCCCGCGACGGCCTGCGCAGGGGCCTGTACGCCGGCGTCTCGGCGCCCTTGGTCGGCGTCACCCCCATGTGTACGTTTCCCTCCTCCTCTCGAACCGCGGCGCGTGAACAAACCCCAGACTGACCCGCCCTCGACCCGTAACAGTCGCCGTCTCCTTCTGGGGCTACGATGTAGGCAAGACCCTCGTCCGCTCCGCCTCCTCCGACCCCTCGGCCCCCCTCAGCATCGCCCAGGTCTCGGCCGCCGGCTTCTTCTCCGCCGTGCCCATGACCGCCATCACCGCCCCCTTCGAGCGCGTCAAGGTCATCCTCCAGGTCCAGTCCCAGCGCCTCAAACCCGGCGAGGCCCCCAAGTACGCCGGCGGCACCGACGTCGTCCGCCAGCTCTACGCCGAGGGCGGCCTCCGCTCTGTCTTCCGCGGCAGCGCCGCCACCCTCGCCCGGGACGGCCCCGGCAGCGCCGCATACTTCGCCGCCTACGAGTACATCAAGAGGCGCCTCACCCCCAAGGACCCGCTCACCGGCAAGCCCACCGGCGACCTCAGCCTGCTCGCCATCACCGCCGCCGGCGCCGCCGCCGGCGTCGCCATGTGGATCCCCGTCTTCCCCGTCGACACCGTCAAGTCCCGCCTGCAGACCGCCGAGGGCAACGTTACCCTCGGCGGCGTCGTCCGCGAAGTCTACGGCCGCGGCGGCTTCAAGGCCTTCTTCCCCGGCTTCGGGCCCGCCCTCGCGAGGGCCGTGCCCGCCAACGCTGCCACCTTCCTGGGCGTCGAGCTGGCCCATCAGGCCATGAACAAGGCCTTTGGCTAAACGAGGGGTGGGGGGAAGGGAAGGTGGAAGGGGACGAGGCCGGGCTGTGCGATGCGGTAAAATGAACGAACGAACGGGGCCGGATCGAAGACTACGAGACTTATACAACGGGCGTTTTGACGGAGGCACTCCTGGAGCTCTGTGTTTTTTCTTCTTCTTCTCTAATCTGCACTTTCGTACCGGGTTTTTACTCACGTCACAACAAGAATAGAAGCGCGGGGTCGACTGAACTATACAGCTACCCTAAATCGGAAACCGTCATCATAGATAAGAGTATACATGCAAAGATTACACTAGACACTTTTTTTGTGTTTCCATTTGGCTATGCTACACATGCTTCGCAAGAATTGGGGTTCGTGGTTTGGTGAAGAAACAAGACGGCCCCGCCCCTGCAAGTGCCTGCAAGTGCTATTAAAAATAATATACATCATGTTTGTGAACCACCCGCAAATTCCTTTTCGTTTTGGTTTTTTGGTCCCCTGCTGCCAGTTACGCCATGCCAAAAAAAAAAAGATCGATTACAAAAAAGTTGAGATGTTGTTCGTTGCCACCCAAATGTACGGCTGGTCATGTTTCGTATCTGTGTACGGGTGTTGTGGCACATTCATGCTGGGTTGTGTTGTGCTGTTTTGTGTGCAATATCGTGGGCTCTTCGGACCCTTGTCATTCCATCCGTTCCGCATCGCAATGGATGCATGCACCTTCTAGGTTAAGATACGCAACCCTAGGCACGCTCATTGACGGTCCATCGCCGCTTTGAAGTCGTCATGTCGCGCATGATTTCCGTCTGTAACAGGGGACGCGGCGCTCCCCATAGGCCACCTTTGTTGAATGTGCCCAGCTGAGGGATCTCGTTCTGCTCGTCGGTCCCGTCACTCGAAGTAGGTCGAGAGATCTCCTGTAGTCTATGGGGAACCTTTGCAGGGCCCCCTATCTGCGGCTCCTTCTTTTCGGGAGTAGGAGGCTTAACAATGTCCTGGCTAGGCTTGGAGAGAGCCGCCAGCTTCTTGCGATGGTCAAAGTCTGGGAAAATATCATCATCCTCGTCCTCTTCTCCCACCTCTTTCTGCGGCGTAATGGGCGACCACAGCCCGATGGAGACCGTCGGTGAAGGTTTCGTGAAACTTGTGGCACCGCTTCCTACGGTAATTCCGCCCGTGCTCAACGGGGGGGCCCGGGGCAGGGAGTGTGTGTTGTGGGAGGTGCGGCGCATGCTGCCTAGGCTCGCGTTCGCCGAGTTGCTTCGACTGCCCGGAAAGGCAAACGAGTCAGGGTTGAAGGCGATTGGGCTAGGCGTATAAGTACTCAGAGACGGAACGCGGCCTCGTTGGTTCGGTTGGCCATTTTGTGAGTGGTTAGACGCTGTGGATGGGGCCCTGGACAAGTTGTGGGTGGCAGAGGTAGGCTGCCGTAGATGATCGACATTCGCAAACATCTTCAGATCGTAGTAGTGGTGGACAGGAACTAGGCCTTTTGTGCCAGACATTGGGTCCACGTCGACTTCCGACATGGGGGTGTCCAGCTCCGAGGGCCCGGATTCGCGGCCCGGCTTGCGGGCGGCGACCGTCAAGGAAGCCATCGCTACATCCATGAGAACCGGCTGGTGGGTGATGGCGCCGATCAAAGCGTTGCATCCGGCACCATGAGAAACAAGGATCACCACAGGCTCGACGTCGTCGTCATCCTCATCGTCAATAGCACACTCGGTGTCACCGTTCCTTGCCGTCCTTACTGTCTTGGTGACCATCTCAGCGGGGCGCTCGGCCGTAGTGTACCAGTCCACCAACTTCTGGATACCCTTCCTGAAGCGGTGATGCATGGCAGTCCACTCTTCGCCGTACTTGCCACCATCGCCCCAGTCCAGGGTCCCCCTCATCGAGTCCCACTGGTAATCAACAAAAACGCAGGCATCTCGCGCGTGCGCCACGTACCCGTCGGGGATCTTGTGGCTCGGTGAGATGGCGTAGTTGGGACTCGGGGCGACATATCCGTCGTTGGGGTTTGCGGGTTCTGGTAGCGCAAAGCGCACTCTCTGACTCGACGAGCTAGCTGAGCTGTCTGCACGGCTTCGCGGCAGAGCACCGGCCATGGAGGAAACGTTATCGAGACCGAGAATGGACGGCGAGTCCGAGTCGATCGAGCCGGACCGCTCGGGGGCTGCTCTGAAGATGGGACTGTTCCACAGCTGGCTCTGAGCTTGACCAACAGAGTTGGCATGGTGATGCGAATGCTCAACGACCTGGTCGTGGACGCTGATATGCTCCTGCCGCAGAAGATCTGCCTTTGCGCCAGCCAACATCATAGCAGAGCCAGGCGGCGGTGTAATCATCTCGAAGTATTCGGGGGATAGCCACTCGCCAAGGAATGCATCCAGCCGGAGAATGGCCTTCTTTATTTTCTTTTCGGAATGCTCGGGTTTGTTGTGGTTCGCGTCTGCAGGCAGCGGACCAACTTCGTGGGATGCAGTAGCGGGCGGACCAAACGGCGAGGCGGAAGGGTTCGCGCTGGGAGAGGACAGCGGGTATGAGAGAACGCCGGCTGGAGGCGCCTGGGCTAGGCCGGCGGCGATGGCGACGGATGTTTGAACGCATCGCAGGAACGGAGAGCTGTGGAGGACGACTTTGAACTTTCGTCGCTTCCTCTGGGAGTCGGCGGAGCCATTGCGGCGGTTGGAGAGGCTTGGTTCCGAAATGCCATCTGCTTCGGCTTGTCGGAGGATGTTGGCGATGCGGATTCCGAGGGCCTTTGCTTGTTGCCAGCCGCCGTAGGTCAGAGGAGGGTCGTAAGGAGTCGGAGATGTGAGGTGCCACTTTTTGTCGGCGGCGTCAAGACGAGCGCCGTGCCTGCAGTTTGTCAGCCTCCCACGACTCGAATGGACGGGGAAACAAAGCGGCCTACCTAACCACAAAAATGTACGCGGGCGGACGCCCCATGTTTTCGACGACGCAGGTGAGGATGCAGATGCACACTCAGAGTGCGTGTAGATGCAGACTTTGAGATGTCCGGCGGAAGACCAGCAGCGTACGTGAAAGGTTTAGTAAGGAAAGAAAACGAAGAGTAGAAGAAAAAGAAGGGGGAAAAAAGCCGGTGGGAAATGCGGCTAGACAGACCAGTAGACCCAGAGGAGACCGGATGGCTTGGACAGGCGAAATAAGCTTCAGCGGGCGGCGGACGGATGACAGTTTATGATTTGATGGTCAACGCGCACCCAAGGTGCGCTCGTTGTTCGAGTAGGTACAGCGGGTTCTTGCGGAGGGTTGGAAGGGAAAAGTTTAAGTGATGAAAAACCAAGTCGAGGTCGAAGCAAGCAGAGGTTGAAGCAAAGCCTGAGGTAACAACAGGAAAAACGACAGAAGAACAGGAATTCTGCCACGGGTTTTGCTTCGGTCTGAGGCCCCTCTCCGACCAGTCAAGGTAGGTACCTAAGGGTAGCTAACACCGACCTCGCAAGCGCTAAGAGGCTGGGGCTAGATGGAGACCGTTGGACCCAGATCCCTCAGCGGCCGGTAGGTGGAGAGCAAGATGTCGTGGGGAATTAGAGGGTATCTCGGTTGCAGATTGGCCACGACGGGCGGATAGCGAGAGGATATAAACCAATCTGTGGATTGCTACCCGTGTACCGTGGGTATGCTGGGGTTCTATACCACAGGTTAGTAGAGGGCCTGCATAGTAGAAACAGGGTCTCGTCTTGGTTTGTTCTGGTCCGGGCGTACACTACACTACAGGTCGCAGGTCGTAGAACTACATAGTAGTTGGATAGAAAGAAACCACACAGGTACCATGTGCGGTCGCAGCTGTGCTCTGCCGGTGTGGCTGGGGGTGACGATCCATGGATCATGGAGGAGCCACGAGACAGGCATGTTTTGCTTTGTCGTTGCGACGATTCAAGGACGATGGGGCCGTGCCAAACGCGACAAGTGTGGTCTGGTTTGATGTCTTGTTTGGACCAGTCCTCCGTTCCCCGTCGCCCCGTCGCCCAGAAGATAACCTTTCGGTAGTGTAGGTAGAGACCCTTCCCACGAGCAAGGAAGCAAGGAAACAAGGGTCCAGTTCTAGGTAGTGGGTGGGCACATTGTGGTGCGGTGTTTGCCGAATGTGTCAACGAAGGGGGTTGCGTTACGTTGCAGAGGCTTCGGCGACTCGATTCGGCGAGTGACAGACAAGACACTTACTTGACCATCGAGGGGTAGGCAGGTACTGTAAGTAATGTCACTGTCACTGTCACTGTTTTCTGAAGCTTCCCAGCGCTACACACTGCGGGTGCCAGAGGCAGGCAGGATGATAGCTGCTGCTACCTCAAGCGCGTCAACCGCTCAAGATGACTCCTACGGTCTAGGTGCCGTGCCGGTCATTGGGTCCTGCTACAATATACTATGTACACTATGTCCACAAGTGCTGTTGCCTGTCGTCACCGCGTTTCTCCTCTCGTGATTCATGGTCGTATGAGGAGGGGGTTGCAGCAGAATGCATTTGCAGACTGGAAAGCGACGGCTCGCTTCTCGCATCCTCGTGCATGTGATTGTCCCGCCCGTGGGAATTTAGCGCCAAACGTCATGCTGGCACGTGGGGTGCAACAGGATAGAATTGGACGAGACAATGTCCGAAAATGCCAGGTGCTGCATGTAAATCAAGCTTAAGTGATCAAACTCCAACGGCCCGTACCCGACTGCGTCTGTCTCTGTGCATTTTCACCCAGTCCATCTGCAACTCAACTGCTTTTGCCTACCTAAGTAGCGTACGTAGCTACCTATATGTATTCGAACCATTCTCTGATTGTTTACCCAATATGGAAAACTGATAATAACGTGCACAATGCTTCACTTCATAGTATAAAGGAAATTGTGTGGCTCGAATCAGACCATGTTGAGTCAAGTCATGAGGTTGCCGATCAGGATCAGCGACCGCCGCGGCGACAGAGGCGGCTGGGGGCGCTCACTCAACCAGGGGAGGGGGGACTCGAGCGCCAACTCCAAGTTCGTCCAGACTCTTGCTCGGTCCAGGACCACCTCCATCTCGGCTCCTCCACAGCCACATCCCCTGTATCTGGCAGGGATGGTCCCCAAACCCCTCCCTTCAGAACCCCGCCTTCGGCGCCCAGTGTCAGTCACACTGTCCGCATTCGAATAATCAGAGTCATCCGGCGGCGCAGTCGACGTATTTATATCGTAATCACTGGCCGCTACGGAATTGCTTTCTTTTCCTTTCTCTTTTGTATCATCAAGCTGCCAAAAGCACATGTTGCGCATGTTGGGAATACACTCAGATTTAGACACAACGTGGGATTTGAAATAAAACAAAAGCACACAATGACCGCTTCCCCAGAGCACAAGCTCGTCCCGGAGGACCTCAAGCTGCGTCTCAAGGATTCATACGACATCATTGCCCCGGCCTACAATGACTGGACCATCCAGCAGTCGGGCTTCCGCATTGAATACCTTGAGAAGCTGCTGGAGAAGCTCCTCACCTCGAAGCCTCTATCCGGCCAGACGTCGCTCGTCCTCGAGCTGGGATGTGGCTGCGGCCTCCCCGTCACCGAGAGACTGCTGACGACCCCGGATGTCTTCGTCACCGCCAACGACCTGTCAACCACCCAGATCAAGCTGGCCAAGGAGAGCCTCGCCAAGCACGGCACCGACCGCGTTACCTTCGTCGAGGGTGACATGATGGGTCTTGAATTCTCCGAGGGCTCCTTCGACGCCGTCGTCGGCATGTACAGTATCATCCACCTGCCCCGCGACGAGCAGACTGAGATGATTCGCCGCATCACAAAGTGGCTGAAGCCCGGCGGTCTGATGCTCGTCAACTTTTCCGCCGAGGAAATGCCCGAGGCTATCATGAACAAGTGGCTCCATGACAAGGGCTGGATGTACTGGAGCGGCTGGGGCACCGAGGGTACCCTGGCCCGCATCAAGGAGGCAGGGCTGGAAATCATCTTGCAAGACGAGATCAACGATCTTGTGGACGCCAAGTTCCTATGGGTCCTGGCCAAGAAATAGACATCGAACAAACAGCAACTTCCTAGACGTCAAAAATTTCAGTTCGGCAAAAGCTCTTTGAATCAGACATGGCGGGCATTGGTTTGACAGACTTGATAGCGACGGAGCGGGAACAAGCTTATGTTCAGGTACAAGGTACTTAGGTACCTAGGTCGTGTGCTTACGTCAGGTAGCAAACAGGGGTGGAGATTACCCATACATAGTAGTCAATTATTATGGTACCTGGCTCAATGCCAGTCACAATCACGGATGTGACCACGCAGTGATTCTTAAGTCATTTTGACTGAGTGCCGTACTAAATAGAGTGCCATTTTTACTAAAATATCTGTCAAAGCAAGAGTTACGCTGGATAAAAAGGTGAAGCGTATATTTTTCAGGAATGAGAACCGGCAAGATTGTATTAGTTCCGTCTGGCGAGTGGTCAATGGTCCGTGCATGGGATTCCATGGGCGTCAGGCTGACTAACGTTCATGAAGGTGGTGAAGCTCCGGGGTGCTCCCCCTTACCAAGCCGGACTTTCATCAGCATCCTTCAACCCGACGCCATCTCTTCTCGTCTCCCTTGCCACACCCTGTAAAACACTGTAATCTTCGTTTCTTTTTTTCTTCTTTTTTTTTTCGCAACTCCCGAATCGTAGCCCGACGCCATCATGAAGCTCTCACGCCTCCTGCAACTGCCTGTGATGCTCGCCGCCGCAACGCTCGCCCCGGTGGTGCTGGCCGAACACACGAGCAACTGGGCCGTCCTCGTCTGCACATCCCGGTTTTGGTTCAACTACCGCCACCTAGCCAATGTGCTCTCCATCTATCGCACCGTCAAACGACTCGGTATCCCCGACTCGCAGATCATCCTCATGCTTCCCGACGACATGGCCTGTAACCCGCGAAACGCCTTCCCCGGCACCGTCTACAGCAACTCGGATCGCGCGGTCGACCTGTACGGCGACAACATCGAGGTAGACTACCGCGGTTACGAAGTCACTGTCGAAAACTTTATCCGGCTCCTGACCGACCGCGTCGGCGACGAAATGCCTCGCAGCAAGCGCCTCCTCACCGACGACCGAAGCAACATCCTCGTGTACATGACGGGTCACGGCGGAAACGAGTTCCTGAAGTTCCAAGACGCCGAGGAGATCGGCGCTTTTGACCTTGCCGATGCGTTCGAGCAGATGTGGGAGAAGAAGAGGTAAGAAAGCAGGTGCCGCTGGACTTGTGTGACGGTCGTTAAATGTTTAGATACCACGAGATCCTCTTCATGATCGACACCTGCCAAGCGAACACGATGTACAGCAAACTCTACTCCCCCAACATTATCGCCACCGGGTCTTCGGAGCTCGACCAATCCTCCTACTCACACCACGCTGACAACGACGTCGGCGTCGCCGTCATCGACCGGTACACATACTACAACCTCGAGTTCCTCGAATCCCAAGTCCAGGATCTGAGCTCCAAGAAGACGGTAGGCGAGCTTTTTGACAGCTACACCTACGAGAAGATCCACTCCCACGCCGGCGTACGCTACGACCTGTTCCCCGGCGGCGCCGACGCCGCACGTAGCCGTCGCATCACCGACTTCTTTGGCAACGTGCAGAATGTCGAGGTGGACGGGGCCAAGAACATGGCCCTCGACGAAGAGTTGCTGGAGTTGAGCCAGAAGATTTCTGCGCTGAAGCGGCGGGCCGAGGAGGCCGACGCCGCGGCGAAGAATGCTTCGCTGGCGGACAAGGCCAAGGTTCAGACACCGAGCGCCCAGGTCCAGGCCAAGCGTGTGAAGATGGCCAAGCCTCTCACGAATGACAACTGGTGGGAGAAGAAGATTGTTGGCGCCACCGCTTTGGCCGGATGCGCCCTTCTGTGGGCCTTAGGGTCGTACCTTGAGACGCCGAAGGCGGAGGAGGAGACTAAGACGACGACCGGCCAGAATGACCATATCACTGTCAAGGCATAGCCGTCTTCTTCACTTTCGTGCCTTTTATGTGTCTTTGTTTGACTCGTTTGATCTTGCATCCAGCATGGCGTTTGGTGGGATAGGGATGGGAATACTACCGTATATTGATAGCACGAGATGCATGCGCCTTGTCTGTCGGCGGCATTGAGGTCCGTTTAGTTTGCATTGGATTGAAAGAAAGAAAGAAAAAAATACCAGTATGGAGACTCCCCAATATTGAAAAACATGGCGACAAGCTCTGCCACGATGCTGCAAAGACAAGTCGAGTGCTCGTCGCTACCTACCTATGTGTTGTTGCTATTTACCCGGGGTATTTCCAGTCTCTGGGTCTCTCACCTTTCGCTCACCGAGCTCTTCACCGAACATTCATTCCACTCCCAAAAATCCTGTTCGTGTCAAGCCAGTCCACCTGACCGCGGCACGTCACCTCCAGCGTACCCTTCATGGAGGTCGGTAGGCACCTCAGAGTCTGTGGAAATGGATAAATCAAAGGTCAGTGTCGCAACTCTCCCAGTGCGTCTTGTTCGCGGTAGTCCTTCCCTGTTGGTCATTTGTCCACACCTGTCATGTTCACATACATTGGTCTCCTCCAACTGCGCGTAACCTCTTGTAAGTGTTAGATGAGCAAGTTGCAAATCTCATTTCACAACATCTGAAGCGAACAGCTCATCTCACACTCCTCGACACATCCCCACATTGACATCCTTCATTCCTTCATCTGTCTTTCCGCCCGAGATCCATCTCACCAGCCGGGCATGCCGTGAATGAGACGCCGCCCACATTGAAGCTGCAGCTGAGAAATCGCCACGGAAGATACCTCCTCTTTGTCTCATGTCATCCAATGCTCAAGGGCCCGGACATCATGGACGACATTGAAACCCTCTCAAAAGCCGTCGGCGTAAACCTCTCGTTGTATAATGAACCGCTGACACGCATCCCGGGCGTCCAGATCCCACCCCTCAAGACGCTCACCCTCAAATCCCGGCCCTTGGCGAGCCACGCCCTCGCATTCTCCTGCGACGCCGAGCTCGCCGTCGCCGCGGACGACTCGGTCCACGTCTTCCTCCCCGAGTTCCCGACGCCCGAGGAGCCGTCATCAATAACCACCAACACCTCTGCCTCCAGGGACCACGATGCCCAGGACGCGGCGGATAAGGACCCCGCGGAGGTAGCAGCAGCCGCCGCCGCCGCCGCCGCACAGGAAGGCGGCAAGACATCCCGCCAGCAGTTCTACACCTACATCCTCCGCATCCCAACCTCCCGGAAGCCCGACCCGCGCATGAACGCCGCGCTCTTCGCCGCGCAGGGCCTCGACACACCCACGTACGACGACGACTACGCCCCATCAGCGGGCGGCGGCACCGCCGTCGAGGATACGTCCTCGGCCTTCGAGGGCGTCGGCTCCGGCACCGTCACGGGCTACGGCGCCTCCCTGAACCAGGTCGTCGCGATCGAGTGGTCGCCCGCGGGCCTGGGCCGAAACCTACGCGCCGCGCTGGCGGTGATGCTGACGAGCGGCGCGCTGCTCGTCTTCGGCGAGAGCGGCGGCGGCGGCGTCGTGGACCTCGGGGCGCGGATGCGGAACTTCAGGGACTGGCGGATCCTCTGGGGTGTCGGGGCGAACCTGCCGCTCCCCGACGCCGGGAGCGAAGACGGCGCCTACCTGCCAAAGGACAAGGTGCGGTCGTTTTCTTGGGCCAGGTACCTGGGCCCTGGGCAGGCCCTGATGGCGTACGCGACGGACGAGGAGGAAGTCGTCGTGTTGAGTGTGCAGTATTACCTCCCGGACCATCTCGGCGAGTCGAATGCTGCGTCGCACGTCTGGGAGGTCGAAGAGATGGCGAGGTTCGACGCGAGAGGGCCGCACCCGAGTACAAGTGTGAGTGTTACCGGCCAACTTCTCTCAAAACTCTCGTGAGAAGCTGACGGCACGTAGATCATGGACCCCGATTACATCCCCCACACCTCGGCATTCTCCCTGAAATGGAGCCCGTGGCTTCACTCCGACGGCGCGAGGACGGCAGTCCTTGCGTACTGCGCCAGAAACTACGTCGGCTTCCGGCGGATCACGATCCCCAGCGACTGGGAGCGGGGCGCGGGCGTGGAGGTCGCCATTGAGGAAGCGGACCTGACCGGCATCTGCACGAGCCTCCTGTCCGACGCCTTTGTCGAGTGGGAGGATGCCGTCTTGGACCACGACGTGGCCAAAGTCTGCCGGGGCGTTGTCGCGACTCCATTCAAGGCCCTGCCCTTCCAGGTCGCTCTCAACGGGCCGGAGGGTACGGCGAAGGACCCCCATGCCACGAGCGTCTGCAACACGACATCTCCAGACGATGCAACCTCGCTCGATGCCACGAACCCCATCACGAGTAAGCCTCAAGCCAAACCCTTCCAGCAATCTACTCGCGCTGACAAGCCCCTCCCTCTCCCCCCCTTTTCAGGCCTCATTATCCACCCCCCCGACTTGTCAAAACAGAGCAAGGCGCCCGCCTATTCCCTCGTCCGCCTCTCCGCCACGGCGACGAACGACAACTGGTTCCAGCGGAGCGCCGGCGACCCCTCCTCTTCCGCCGCCGCCGCCGCCGCCGCCGCCGCCATCGTCGATGCCCTGCCCCAGTGGGCCGCGACGATCTCCTCGACCGTCAAGCTCTCCGTCCCCGTCGCCATGCTCGGCCGCGGCGCGGGCGCGGCGTTGGCCGGGGACGCTGAGTCCGTCGCCTCGGGCGAGGACGACGACTCGGACGACGACGACGACTTCGACCTCCCAGAAGACGCGGGCGAACAGATCCACCCGCACCGGGTGCGCATCTGGGGCATGGCCATGTCGCCCGCGGGAGGCATGAGCGCCGTACTCGTCTCGCAGCACAGCACGCAGAAACCGGAGAAGACCGTCAAGACCAAGGTCCTGTTCGGCGGGCGGTCCGGTCCCGTGGCCTCGCCGCTGACGGGCGATGAGATGGACGTCGACACGGACGAGAGCGCCGGCGGGGCCAGGGATTGGGGTTTCTGGGCGAGACAGAGCACCGAGGCCAAGATGTGGGACTGGATGTACGCCGGCGGCCCCGCCGTTCCCGGAACGCTGGGGTTCGGTGAGGGGGCGAAGGCCGGGGACTCCTCGATGCGCAAGAGGTTTGAGGGGGTCAAGAAGAAGCAGCGGTGCGTCTTTTGCAAGACTCCCCTGGAAGACGAGGGCAAGGAGTCGATTTGCGAAAAGGGCCACATCTTTGGTGAGTCTTTTCTTTTTTTTTTCCCTCTTCTTCTTATTAACCCCCCCTCCCCCCTTTTGCGATGTCTCTCTTGGTTTGCTCGTCTACGGAGAACTGGAGCCCGCTGACTCTTCTTGGACAGCCACCTGCGCATCCACCGGTCTCGCCATCCTCGCACCGGGCATCTCCAGGGCCTGTGCCGTCTGCGGCCTCCGTTGCCTCGTGGCCAAGGAGGTGGCCAAGATCGCGCAGGAGCACCTGGGCCCTGATGCCAAGGTGGAGGCTTCGGAGGAGATGTGTGGCGGGTGCGGGGGCAAATTTGTGGTATAAGTGATCAACCATACATCAATGTGCCAGACGATGCCTCCGTAAGGGTACCTGGGGGCGCTGGGAGAAGCGTGTACATGTATGGATAGCAGCATCATCATTATTACAAAAAACACACATCCCTCAGTTTGCCCTTGGCTAGAGATTTCCAGATTACATGTAAGTTTCCGACTGAGAAACTGCAAAGGGTGGTGTGAGCTGTGGCAGGGTCTTCCGAGCCCATCACAGCCGATGGATCATCTCCCGAGACCTGGCGGGAGTCTTTTCCTCGTTGCACGCGGACACATCACAGTTGCACTATGCGCTGCCTTTTTTTTTTCAGGGAAGTTTGATTCAAGAGTGCAAGACGACATGCGTGACGGGATAGCTCAACCGCGTTTTATACGCGCCCTGCTTCCTGGTTGCGTTCCCTATTTTCTCAACTCGGTTCCGTGATAGCTCCAGGCTCCCCTCTGGAGGCCCGCTCATCCCTCACATAACGCACTCCAGGGGTGGAGAAGGGGTCCGGCGCAAATCCCGGAGCTTAGTATTTGCCGATACCGGGAGATTTGAGAAGTCCTGCATTGTAGTTGTAGCCAACGATACCCTTCAAGGCGGTGCCAGTGCCGGTCTGGTAGCAACCAATGGCGCCATCGTAGACCCAGATGCCCTCGGCTGGGAGTGGAAACAAACGATCGTGTCAGCAACGACTTCTTGCAAACTAGCGCAAGTGTATACGATGTGCAAGAGAGGAACGGAGAGGGGCCCGCTTACAGAGGTTGACTACTCTCGTTTGGATCTTGTCTTTCTTGTTCATGCACCCGCACTCCATAGTGAGGGGGTTCGTGTTTGTGAGCTTGCAGCCGAAACATCTGAAACCGCCGCTGTTTTTTATATAGTTATGAATGTCAATGATCTGCCACCGAGAGAGAGAGAGAGAGAGAGAGAGAGGAAGGAAAATCCAACGGCGGACAGCCATTGTTAGGCAGTGTTTGGGGGGGAGACTCAACCCAGGGGACCAGATCAGGTTGCCGTCCGTGTTGGCGAGGCACTCTTCCAGATAGAGTTGGGTTACCATCTTATTTCCGGCATTGTCCTTGCAATCGGCGGTGAGCTTCCACTCTCTAATGCTTCGTAAAGCGTCTGGATCAAGGAAATGGAGCTGGAAGTTCTTGCACGACTTCTGAACGCAGTCGGACTCGAGGGGGCAGTCGCGGGCCGAGACCGCTACGGCGACGGCCGAGAGCACTGCGGTGATGCTGAGGAACCTCATGGTTGCTGTTCTGCTGCTGCTTGGTCTATGCGAACTGGCTGTAGATGGCTGGGAGCGGAGGCTCAAAGGGTGTCTGGAAAGATGGGAGGAGCGAGCTGGTGATGAAGAAGGGTGGTGAAGAAACGTCGAGTATCCGGCGGACGGGCTGTGGTTTATATATCGCGAAGACTGTTTGTCGTTCAAGACGTCCCCTCGAGGCATCCTTCACATGGCAAGGCAGCCGGGGCTGCGATATCTCTCGTTCACTGGAGGCGGGCGTCAAACCGGACGTGACAGCCGGTCATGGCAAGAGAAAACCCCCCAAAACCACCCCCAGCACCGGGCGAGTGTCCTGAGGGTCTGGATGATTTCTCTCCAGGCCGGATACATGAACATGGCGTGTTTCTGCAGTGTAATCGAAGCGAAGTATCACAAGATAGTCGCGGATTCCTCTTTCAAGCTGTGCCGGTGGTTGAGGCTAGACCGCTGAAGAAACTGGTATCCTTGGTACCTCTGCCTCGACTGGTAGTCTCGATGCGCGTCGGGCCAAGAGCCAAGAGAAAGCACAAACCGGACGCCGCGCAGTGCGACCTCGACGTTGGTTTGCCGGTCGGAAAAGTGAAATCTCAACGATATGTTTCATCGCCGCCACCTTTGTTGTTTTCTGTAGAGGCGAGTGCATGTTTGTCTGCACAGCTTGATATGCGCTGCTCCAAGCCTCTACCTCAAAAGCTCGAAAGGAGCACGAGTCATAGAACCCCGAGCATACAGGGATGGTGGCCGTTTCGATTAAGCATATCTGGGGTGGGTTGCAAAGTTTGCGGTTTGCAGATAGCAGGGCCTCCCCTTACTTCGTCGTCGCGGGGAACCCGGCATGCTGAGATTCATGGCCTTCTCCCGGCCTGTGACTTGAAGCCGGTGAATGCGATGAATATGGCAAACACCCCTTCCTCTACGAGGCGCCACAATCCACCGAGGGTTCAATCGAGAATGACCTGTTCTCCGGATTCCGAGCTGACTCTTCGACTCCAACCACTTCTTCGACATGTTTATACGAGCCCCCATTCTTTGACGCCCTCTTGCAGTACGGGTTGATTGCTGTGTTACCTCTCACCGCTGTTCTCTTCAGCGTGACTTTTCCTACGACGAATTCCACTGATTGAGACTCTCTTGCTCCACAAATGATTGCTAGTGGACTGACTGGTTCAATAGCGTAGGACGCGCATATATTGCGTCGCCGTGGATACTCTGCTTGAGACACTTGTGGCCCAAGATCGACCGGTGTTCGTCCGCAGTTCATGTCACATGGGCAGTATAGAGAGAGCACGGATTCGTACGTGTGGATATACGAGGAAAGGATCTGTGATTTGGGTTTGCCCAGGGCTGAAGTTTGCTTCCCTTCTTTGTGCTATTTGTAGCGGGGCGTCCCATCACGTGTGGAAAGTTAGGGAAATGTCAGTTTAGCAGAAGCTTCATTTTGAGTATCGAATCTTTTTGGTATTCATTCAATCAGACATAGCAACTCAGCAGCATGCCTGAGCAGGTGGACCAGCTATTCATTCTCTGGCCCGCATCGTCTTTCCTCATAAACCCTGTTCGATATCTCACAGAGCCGGGGGGGGGGGGGAATAGCCGGTTCCAGTATACAGTGCCCCAACTCTGGAGTATCATGTACGTTTGTTATATATACAGCGAAGGAAAAGGTCCCTTCAGAATACAAAACATTATGGGAATAGAAAGTATCGCACAAACGCTAGATCGAATGGGTTTCTCAACCCGCAAATGAAACACTAAATCAAAGCCATGGCATGAAGCGACTGTCTTAGCCGGCAACACCGCTAGCAGGGTACCCTGTTCGGCAGTGTCAGCAAATGGTAGGGTGAGAGATGTCAAAGTAGAAAACAACTTACACCAAGAGCACGTAGCAATAATGGCATACAGACAAATGAGCTGCAACCCCTCGAGCCAATGACTCTTGCCATCGCTAATCAGGTAGTTGACCAACAGGACGGCGACAAACAGCACCGCAACCTGGAACTGGTCGAAACTGAGCGTCATGTCGTCGTTGCCCATGCCCCATCCAATAATCACCAACATTGGGATCAGGAACAGGGCAACCTGCATACTGGAGCCGACGGCTACACCAATAGCAAGATCCATCTTGTCCTTGATGGCCACCGTAACAGCCGTGGCGTGCTCGGCGGCATTACCGACGATGGGCAAAAGAATGAGACCGACGAATTCCTCGCTGATGCCACCCTGCTTGGTAACGTAGTCGATGGAGCTGACCATGGCCTCGGCGCAAAATGCGATCAAGACAGTAGCAAGGGTGAGGGTGCCGACAGCCACGAAGAAGTGCAACTGCGGACCCTCGTCCTCGTCATCCTCCTCATCCTGACGCTGCATCATGATCCGGCTGAGCTCCTGACGGTCATCATCGCCATCATTGCGGACACCGGTGTGTGCCATGCGTGCACCAGTGCCAGCCAATCCACGGGCAAGCGCACCCTCCTTTAGGCCACCGCGACTCCAGGGTTTGGCGGCGACCTTTTGAGACTCCTCGTTGAAGACGGCGTTGTGCGTTTTGAGCTGGAAGAAGAGATAGGAAGCGTAGATAATGAGGAGAATGACGGCGGTGCCTCGCGAAAGAGCGGCAACGTGGGTGGGATTGTTGGTGTGGTCATTCTTGTCGAAGACGGTAGGAACAATGACGGAGGCCACAGCAATGAAAAGAAGGGAGGCAGCGGTCTGGGCGACAGTCGTGTTGAAGTATTGCTCGGGTCGGTTGAGGCCACCAAAGAAGAAGCAGAAGCCCATGACGAGCAACAGGTTGGAGAGAATGGAGCCAATGAGCGAGGTCTGCACAATCAAGACCTTGCCCTCGACCAAGGCGAGAATGGCGACGATGAGCTCAACGGCGTTGCCAAATGTTGCGTTGAGGAGACCTCCCAAAGTCTCCCCTGTCCTCAGTGCGATCTCTTCGGTAGCGAAACCCAGCATGGCTGCCAGGGGGATGATGGCGATGAAGTTGACGACGAAGACGGCGATCTTATTGACGGAACCGACGTAGCTGATGGCGATACCGACTGGGGCGGCTAGTATCAAAATATTGATGTAGGAGCTGAGCAGCGTGCGTTGCAGTTGATTGGCAACCGTAAAGGGCTCTTTGGGTTCGACGTGTCTAATCAAGCCCGACTTTTGCTTTTTGGGCTTTTCCATCTCCTCCTCTGGCGAGGCCCCTTCATCCTGTGCAGCTTCAGATTTGCGGTTCCTCAAGACGCCGCCATCTTCGGGCTTGTTCTCGTACGCGGTATCGCCGCTTCCACTGCCCGAGCGCGACCTCGTGTCTTTCCTCAGGCTGTTACGTGGGATATCGGAGTCCCTGGCAGCCGGTTCGCTCTGAACGTGATGTAACGCTTCGTCGGTTTCTATGTCTTCGGCAAGGGCTTCGCGCTGGGCCTCGAGGTTCGCACCGTCCCAAGTGGACCGCTTGCTGGGGTGGTTATCCCACGATACGTGACGAAAGGGGTTCCATGTCTGCTCCTGGCTCCGGCGGCTGAGGCCATGCGCTTTGCGCTTGATATCGAAATGGTTGACTGAACCGACGAGAGACGGCATGGTCAGCAAGTGTTGGCAGCGGGTTGACGCTGTGAGATGATTGGGGGAAAAGCGCTAGTTGGCGAATGAAAGGTGTAGTATTATGAGTGGGAATGGCTCGTTCAGTGAGATGGGACAATGACGTGAAACTAGCTCTGTGGAGCACTGGTGGGAATAATATGGGAAGGGGGTGGAGGGGACTAGGGGGCGGACGAAGGTTGGCCGCGACCACACTTGAGTCGACAGATTGGCAGATGATTGAGGGAGGTGGGTGAGACTATGGAGTAGCCTAGCAAACAGTATCCCTCATCTTGTGGAGGAAGGGGAAAACACAAAAAAAGGGAGAAGGGGTTTGAGAAAAACAAATAGTGGAAAATAGGAATATCAGAGTGGTGATATGGGAAACAGGTAGGAGTGTTTCGATGGTTTTTCTTCTCTCGTGTGGCGCCGGGAGGACAATGCAACGGTGACGGGGACAAGGGGTGGAGGATGGTGGGTAATAAAAAAAAAGCTGGAGAGTTGTTGACCACTCTACTCACAGGTGTTCATGCCGGTTAGCCAACGGCAATGACGATACGATGGGCTAGGCTGGCTGGTCGGCGTGCTTGTGCTCAGTGACCAAGATTGAATCGCTTCAGATCAACGCCAAGGTGTTGAGACGAAACGCGAACCGAGCTGTGGTGCCGGGGTGTTGGTATCGTCCTTGACTCCGGTATCCTTTGTATCGAGGATTGACGTGCGTATGGATAACGTGAAGAGAGTGGGTGCCGGGGTAGTGGGTTGGTATATAGTGATTGCCGCTGTCTCTTATGAGGGAGACGATGTAGGGCAGAGGAAGAGAGAGAAGAGGCCTCCTTGGCGATATTGCAGCGCTCGACTTGGCGCCGGAAATGAGACGGGGCGGCCGAGACGCAGCTCCGGTTGGGGGGTGGTGCTGCTGCGGTGCAAGCGTTTGCCAAGGCGAGAGACGGGGTTGGCACACAAGCCCGGGGGCGGTTACCACAGCTAGGGAGGCAGAGAAAAAAGGCACACGTCAACAAAGACGACGACTATTGCCCCGGCGGAATCGGGCTGTGTCGGTCTAGACGGCGAGGGTTTGGGCTGGATTCGCAACGGCGGCTGTATCGTCGAAGTAACGTGTGTGCAGTTTCGGGGAGGCAGTGTTGGGCCGGACAAAAATAAGTGGGAACAGAAGGACACGGGTATGAGTCGTGAGTCGTGTCTTGTTGACTACAGACAAGCTTTGTTGCTGGCTTCTCAGTCAAGCTGCTAGACTTGAGTCGGCTAGGCGATGGAAAGAAGAAGTCAAGGCCGGCAGAGAGTGCCGATAGATGGGATGACGGGATGGAGGAAAGGGAGAAGAGAAGAGGGACGGACGGTTTGAAGAGAAGAATGAAAGAGGGAATGGGGGGGGTCATAGCCCACTGTCAATGAATTAGTTATGAATGGGTCGTCGTTAGTGTAATCAAACTGCCTACTACGTAGGTACAACTACTACGTGGACGATCTCTCTCCCTCTCCCCCTCGGAGGGGGTGACGATGAATGGGTACACATTACGCGACATGCATTCGTCGGGCCTCAGGCGGGATGGGATGGTTTCAAGGAGCAGAAGGAGGACGAGGACAGGCAGACCTACGTCAGCTGCATCGGCTGCTGGCTCTGCGCTGCCAGCGATGAAGCAAGTTCGGGACAGGTTCTGCAAAGTAGGTAGGTAATACGTACGGGGGGCACCTTCGGATATGCACGCACCGCGCTAATTTGCCTTACCCTTCGTCCTTTCCTCGGATGAATGAATGGATGCGGTGTGTGGCCGCAACGCTCTTTCCGCCACAAAAGCACAACCCCAAAGCGGGGCTGTCCGTACTTTCCATTGGCAATTGCGTCCAGGGCCTTCCTTCCCCCCTTTCCCATCCCTGACCCTCCCTTTGTTCTCTATCCGTTATACCTATGAGAGGATGGAGAAGGAGAGAAAGGAAGGCCCCTGCGCAATGGGGAAAGCAAAGAAATCATACACTATATGTAAGTATAGAACTAGGTATCCGCAAAGTCAATATAAACCCATCACGGATACATATATACGCTCAAAAGACGTTGGACATGGTCGTCGGATTTTCACACGTCGTCAGCAAATCCCGGTGACGTGCCAAGCCGACGCCACATGCAACAACTCTACGTAGCTGCGTGTGCACCAACTGCCAAAAGTTCAACAGAACAAGCTTCTGCCAAGGCGGTAAAGGTCTCCGATTCCTTGGCCTTGCTTGGCTATTGCTTGTCTGCTGCTTCTTTTTTAGAGGATGCCCAACGTTCGGCGGCGGCAGGAACAAGATTTCGGCACAACATGAGAAAAAAAAAAAGAGAAACAGTGTGACGCTAAATCCGCCATGCCTCTGCTCGGATTGCCATCCGCACCCACGTCGTGACGCTCAGTCCTGTTACCGTGCATCAACCCCGATGCGGCAGTAGTCGTATCCGTAGTCGGTCGAGACCCCCAAACTAGCCCAAACTACGTATGATGACATCACCACCACCACCACCACCACCACCACCACCACTTCCGACCTCACCTTCCCTCGCCAGCAACACCGCTTCGAATCAGGTCATCGCCATATTCTCACGCATTGACAGCACTTAGAGTCTCACGCGCCCTGCCTTAGCACACTTCTGGCCTCGGCACATCTCTCCCGGAGCCCAACCTTGTCGAGGTACTCCCAGGACTCCATCCTGCTCAGGTTAGAGCACAGCTTGACAAGGTAGGCTCAGAGGAACATCTTGCAGTGCAGGATCTAGGGCGAATTGTTGCTGGGGATGTCGTCCGTAGGACCTTTGAAGCTAGTAGTTTGCGCCTGAGGTCAGGGCCTTGATGTGCTCTAGGAATGTGTGTTCTTGTTAGCGTCTCTCTCTCTCTGCGCTTGGATGACAGAAGAAGGAGGGAAACTGGTATAGGTACTGCTGCTTAAGTCAAGAAAGCTGTGGAGGTAGCGGATGTAAGCACCTACCTCCAACAACCCAGTCTTGACTGTCGGACTGCATCATAAAAAGTGAACGATATGTAATTCGAGCCCATGACCTTTGGAAAAAAGGCAAAAACCACTTGGAGCAGACCGGTACGCCATTCGGCGATTGCATGCCCAAAGGCATTATCTTCGTACCTTTTAGAGTATATATACCCTATTTCAAAGGTAGCTTAGGCAACTGTTGGTTTGATATTCGCCTCATCATCTCTCTCTCTCTCTCTTTTGCGCGAAACGCCCTGCCTCATTGGACCGCCAATCACGCAGCCGGTAAGCAAGCTCACTCGCTTGTATACCTATTTGGCCCAGATCCTACCGGTACCATCCAGGCAGTTGTTGCCATGCGCCGCGCCGCACACCATTTGTACTGTGACTTTTTGCTCGTGAGCTTGTTCCGACAGCCTCTCTCCGTCACCCCACCGCTCCCGCCCCCAACCCCAACCCCAGCAGGACCCAACTCAGCAACCATCGTGTGGCTGATATGGACAACCTGCCGACCTGCACCACGTAGACAAATCACCGCGGGCTCGTATCTTCCCGTAACCCGTCATAAAAAAAAAAGCAAACGCCACCAGCCGACGTGCTGCGCCTGTCTCACTGGGGGGGCGTTGATGATGACTTCTGCTGAGGCGGCCCACCTCGCCTCGTTTGCTAAGCCACACCCGTCCAGCGTGGCTTTTTTTTTTTTTTTTTTTTTTTTTTGCTTAAAGCTCCCGCGCCCGACCCCCCTTTTCAATCACCAAGCGCCAAAGGCTTGGTTCGGGGTGCTCCTGATTACAAGCTAAGGATAGGTATTCTTAGTCCAAGTGCGGGATCTGGCTAGAATGGGTTTAGAGTTGGTCAATCATGGCGCAAATCTTGGCTATAGTTTAGGGATCATTCCGCAGCGAGGGAGAGAGACCCGTTAGGTCACGTCAGATCCAAATCAGGGTAAACCCAACAGTCAGTCGTTGATAATGGCCACATCGATGGATGGGCCATGTGCCATGCTAAGCGTCTTCGGCAGTCGGGGTTTAAACGATCTAACGAACCCCCCTTCGCATATACGTGTTCCACGACATCGCATGCTTTCGTTCTCACATGTTCATCAGCTTCGTAATCATCTACACAAGAACAACACACACACACACACCCCCGTTCACCTATTCAACGATTTACCCTCCCCTGCCGCACATGGGCTTCTGGCTTCATTCCCGCTCCCTGTCTCGGACCTCCCTCCGAGGCCCCCCCAGTCCCAGCCCGTCCTGCACACTCGCCCTCCTGAGGAACTGCATCCCCCCCGCCGGGCTGCTCATGAGGCTCCAAGGCCCGGGGCTCGGGCTCCCCCCTCCCAGCCCCCGCAGCCCCTCCGGCCCTCCGGACCCTCCAGACCCCGACCCCAGGCCCGACGAGTGCAGGTCCCCCAGCACCCCGGCAGGCAACCCCAGCGTCGGGATGCTGGCCTCCGGCACCGCCTCCAGCCCCATTATCGTCGTCGGCCTCATCGCCCCCGGCGTCGTCATCGCCCCCGGCGGGCCCCTCTCCAGCGTCTCCTTGTAAAACCCCTCCAGTCCCGCCTTGTCGCTGCAGAATGCGGCCAGCTGCTCCAGTATCGCCATCGGGTCCGCCGCCCCGACAAACCCAGACGCGCCGCCGCCGCCGCCGCCGTTTGCGATCCCCGTCGAGCTGTTGGCCCCAGACTTCATTTCAGAAGCCCCCCGCACCACTGGGCTCCCCGCGTAGAAGACGGGCTTCACCATCGGGCTGTTCACCGGCGTCTGCTCCGAGATGCCGAACGGCGTGTACGACCCGACGGGCATGCTCCGCCCGCCGCGCTCGGCGACGTTGGCCTCCCGCATCTCCTTGAGCTCCTTGTCCCGCGCCGCCGCGGCGCGGTTGCTAAACAGCCTGTTGGCGAGGACCAGAAAGTGCCCGTCGTCTGTGATCTCGGCGAGCAGCACGCCCGACCGGTGGATGTACTGCGAGTACTTGAAGTCCGGCCGCCCCCAGGAGAAGCTGACCTCGACGTCCCGCGGGTAGTTGGAGGCCGCCTCCATGTCGAGGACGAAGTCGAGCTTCCGCATGATGGCCTTCTGGTAAAAGTGCTTGCCCGGCGCCGTCTGCGGCGCCAACGAGTTGGGCTCGTAGTACGTCACCGGCTGCTGGCTCGGCGGCGGCACAGACAGCTTGATGATGTACGGCCGCCGGAACGGGTTCACGTCCGTGATGGAGCACGCCTCCGTGATGGGCACCTCGACGAGCCGGAGTCCGTACGTCGCCGCCTCCCTGGCCCAGCCCTCCACGACGTCTTCGATGAGCTTCGCCGTGACGTTCATCCAGTCGATGCGGATGTGGTAGCAGTTGTCCGGGTTGTGCAGCCGGTCGTAGTGCAGGTCGACGCGCTCGGGGCGGTACGACCGCTTGCGGTGGTCCACGTCGTACTTGATGACCTTGCTGAGCACCACTTTGGGAACCTTCTTGTTGAGCAAGGCCGAGTTCGCCGTCGGGGTCGTGGACCCCGATATGGGTGAGTTCTCCTCGTTGATCGACGTCGGCCGCGAGATCATGCTCGGCCGCGGCGAGTCGCGCGGCATGTTCTCCGACATGGGCGTCGACGGCACCGAGACGTCGCGCCGGCGCGAGTTGAACCAGCTTGGCGGGTGTGGCTTCGCGTACTCGCTGGCGATCGAGTAAAAGTACTGCCCGTCCCTGAATGGGTGACGTCTCTCCACGTGCTCGAACAGTCCTCCGCGGTCCTTCTTGTCGTCTAACCTGTCGTACGTCTTGACCATAAGCATGTTACCCAGCTGCTCCGCCTCCTCGCGGCTGTCCAAGTCCTCAAAGTTGTCCATGAGCCACGTAGTCATGTCGGACCCGATGAAGCAGTTGTAGTGCAGCCGCAAGTGCCACCTCCGGTTCTGAAGCTTGACCCCGCCGTTTTCGACGGGCTGCTGTATCGCCTCCGCTAGCGCCGCAAGGTTCAGGTTCGACTTGCGAAAGCGCTCCCGGCTTGAGACGAGCTGTCTCTTGCGGTTCTCGGCGAGGCCCTCCACCAGCGGCAGGTTGTCGAGCTCCGCCGCGATGACCACGGACGGGTCCTCCGTCTTGTACACAATGTCCAACGGGTTGGGGTCCCGCTTCGACTTGGCCGTCTGGTACCTGCGCTCGGACACCGGGATGTACCGGTGCTTCTGCCAGGACAGCGACAGCCTTCTGATGCCCTCCAGCCGAACCTCCTCGGCGTTGTCCCCGGCCTGGTTCCTAGGCACCGCCGACGATCGGGCCACCATCGGGATGAGCACGAACCGCGTCCGCCAGAACCGGAGGTTCTCCGTCATCTCTTCGTGGTGGCCGGCGAGGTAGGAGTCGATGTAGTTCCAGTTCCTCTCCGGCCTCGGCGTCGATATGTCGACCTCCTGCGTCTGATATCCGCTCTCCATCAGGGTCCGGATGGCGGGGCGGTACAGCGGACCCGAGCTGGAGCCCCCAATGGTCGACTCGGCCGGCTTCCGTATGTAGATGTTCACCTCGACCTCCGTGCCGTTGACGCATGAGAGCTGGTGGATCGTGTTGCCCACCGACAGGAAGATGCTTGTGCCGTCCTCCATCGCTTGGTCGCGCAAGAAGATGTCTGCGATCCGGAGCAGCCGCTGCCCAAAGGCTTTCGCGACGGCCGGGCCAACGACGACCTGGAAGCCCTGAGAGAAGCGCAGACTGATAAGCTCGCGCAGGAACTCCTCCCTCGACTTGGGTTCGTCGGCGAGCTCGTCATCGGCGTTCTGCGCAATCACGTAGGGCTGCCTCTGGTACTCCATGTCAAATTGTGCTTTCGTAGGGAAGTACTCCGTTGTCAGCGGCACGGCAGCCGGACAGCAAAGCGCCTTCCATTTCATGACCTTCATCTCCGACGTCCGCGGAAACACGTGCTGCCATCGGCTGTAAAGCACGGTGTCGTCAACCTTGTTCCGGTCCGGGTTGGACGGGTTCAGAACCGTGAGCCAGGGCGAGATCGCCGTGGTCGGCGACAACGTAGACGGCAACTCGGGCATGGCCCCAGCACGCAGCTTGCTGTTGAACATTTTAGTATTGTCGTCCTCGGCCCTCAAGGCGTGCGAGTTTCTCTGGTCGGGATCCTCGCGGAAATTGTCCTTGCGCGCCAGCGATGATGGCAGGATCGAGCCATACCGGTGCTGCTGGCTCAGCAAGCTCTCGCCCCTGCGCGACGACTTCAGATTGATGGGTATGCTCGGCGTAGACGGCAGGTCTCTGAGCGTATCCCGCGAGCTCGACCGGAACAGCTGGGGCGAAAGTGATGACATGGCCGCCGGCTTGATGATCTGCGGAGACGATGGCCGCGGCAGCGTCGACATGACCAGCGGCGTCGCGGGGCTCTGCGCGCTCTGCTCGGTGGAAGCCTTGACCGTCTCGAAGCTGGCCTCAGCAGCCACGACCTTTGGCGCCGCGACTCCGAACCCGCGCAGGCCGAGGCTGATCTGCCGCATGAACTTGGGCGCTTTCGAGGGCGAGCTCACCGACGACATCTTGGACGTCGCGCTCTGGGAGTCGGGCGTCGACGACGAAGCCGATGAGGGCGTCGGCCCGCCGGCGGAATTTGCCGTCGACGGCGGACGGCTCGTGGCTTTCCGTGCCGACGCAACAATTTCGGCCTTCTCGGCGTCGGTAATGTTGACCGATAGCTTTCGCCCCGCGGCGACGGCCGCGAGGCCCTGGTTCGCGGCGACCTTCTTCTCGGGCAGCGATGTGCCAAACAAACCCGTGTCCTCCATCAGCTGCCGCCTCGTCGTCTCCTCGAGGTCCCGCGACGCCCTAGCGTGCGCGGGGCGTCGCGACTTGGGCAGCCGCGCCCTTGTCTCGTCGTACTCCTGTAGCTGCTTCCAGAGCGACTTCTCGCCTGGTTTGACAAGCCGGTCCGGCACAAATTTCTGGAACCCGTAGACGTGGTCGACGAGCGTGTCCGGGTGGCGCTTCATGGGGATCGCGGCGATCTCGTCCGTCCCCAGTCGCGACCGCTGCGAAGAGCTCTTGGACTCGGTTGTGGTGATGGGGAACAGCGGGTCGGCCTGTAGCGGCGTTGTCTCGATCTCGTTGGTCTCTAGAACGCTCCGCATCTGCAGGTCGTACATGCGCGCGCGGATGGTAAAGTCGTCGCTCTCCTGATCCTCCGTTTGGTCGGACACCGAGATCGCGATGCCTTGATACGACAGCGCCTCCTCGGACGTCCCGGTCCAGTACGATACGTGCAGCCACTGCGGCAGCGCGTACGACCACTCGTCCGGAGGGTTCGCCAGGGTGTTGATGCGGTGGGTGAGCTCCAGCCCCTTGGTCGGGGACAGCGACTCCGACAGCGACTGATAGCTGCCGATGATGGGCGTGGCCTGCTGCTTCGGCGTGCTTTCGCGGCTCCGTACGGACCTCGACCTAGATAGGCCATGCGAGTCTTCCGACGTCCGAGGAGTACGGTACCGGAACAGTGGAACGGAGTGGAGGGGCATCTTGGGCACGCAGATGAGGTCGATACCGATGCCGTTCCCGACAAGGGCCTCGGTCGTCCGGCGGAGGGACTCGTACTCAACCTCGAACACGCCGGGCCCGGGGCTAATGACGACAATGGAGATGCCCGTCCGCATGAGGTCGCGGTCGACGTAATCGTGCGCAAACTGCGACGACGCGAGGTTGATGGCTTCGAGGAAGTTCCCATGCATGGCCAGCGACGACTCGGCCTTGACCCTGTTGGACGCGACGCCCTTGCCGCCCATCTCCTCGGCCAGCGGCACGAACGCGCTGCCGGCCTGCTGGTGGTGCAGGCTGATGTCCCGGCGGAAGAAGTTGAACTCGCGCTTCAGCTGGTATAGGATCGTCGTCCACTCGCCGCTCGCCATGTCGCTCACGACGACGCGGTAAAAGTCCTTGTACGGTCTGCGCTCCCCCGAGATCTGGGTGCCTGTGTAGTAGTCCCCGTGCAGCGTGCTGCTCGCCAGCTCCGTCGTCAGGCCCGTGTCGTACTCGACTCTCGCGAACAGCACGATGCTCACGAGGTGCTTCGCTTTCAGTTTCGCCCACTTCTTGAACAGCGCCGGCAGGAACCCGTTGACGACCTTGTTAAAGAGGATCTCGCCGGACCCTTCCGAGTCGAAATCCCACATCTCGCGTGCCATCTGTATGAACAGCACGTATCGCGCCGACTCACTGCGGAAGATGGGCCTCGTGTTGCTCGTGAAGAAGGCCGAATGCGTCTTGCGCCCGTCCACAAACACGGCCGTGACTTGCGCCTTGATCGTGCCCATGAACAGTATCGACTGACCTTTGTACACGGTCCTTTCCGTCAGCTCGCCGATGGCAAGCCGCCACATGTCGGAGCGCGAGAGGTATTGGTCCTTAAACGAGAGTTCGACATGCGAGGCGGCCGTGGCGGGGCTATCCGCATCGACGGGCGTCAGGAGCACCTGCGTGCCCTTCTTCATCCCAAATGCGTCGGCGATGTGCTTGACGACATAAATGTCCACGTTGGGCAAGCGGCTCCTAAGCTCCTTGGACATCTCCTTGGCGACGAAGAAGTACTTCCTTCCCAGCGCTGTGCCCTCCGCGGTCGTGTTGTCTCCCTGCGAGGCCCCGGCTCCGGCCCCAGTGCCGCCGGAAGCGTTGCCGCTGCGAGCCGCATGATCCTTGGTGGCTGTCTTATCGCCCTCGGTCCTGATTACGGTGATGGCTACTAGGCTGCCCGGCTTGACGTCGCCCTTGACCAAATCCGGGCTCAGGAGGACCTCGTCGCGCGAGTAGCCCTCGTTGACGGTGACGGTGCATCTCCGCTCGAGGCGGCGCTGCTTAACGGAGCTGGACGAGTTGTCGCCTCGGATCGTCGATGCGCTGGAGACGGTATCGGGAGACCGCGGCGAATCGATGGACGATGTCGCCGATGGCGGCTCGAGGCTGTTCCGGCTGAATTGCCGAAGGTGGGAGGACCAGTTCGGTCCCTTCCGCAAGGACGGGACTGCGCTGGCATTGCGAGGCATTGTTGGCCGAAGAGGGGTGTGTTCAGTGTAGGCTCGTCAAGGTGGGCCTCCACGATGGTGTCGCAGTAGCATTTCGGGATTTTTCCGTCCGGTTCGATGGTATCGTTTCGTATGGGACGGGTGTTCGGGGTGTGATTGCTTGCTTGCTGTTGATGGCACACTTATCGGTTTAATGGTGGTGCATCTGCAGCTCCGTCATGTCGGCAGAATTGTGGACGGCAAGCTCCCGTTATACCACACCGCCTTCCTTTTCTTTTTCAGATATTTCCCCGGGTTTTCTTTTTCTTTTTCTACGCTGACAGTAGTCTGCATCTCGCCGAACAGATGTGAGACGCAGCTTATCGTTGCCGTTTGGATCGTCCGATGTATTAACCGTAGCCAAACAAATGTTATAATACTACGAACGAATTCATCCGCTCTCCTAATTTTGGCCTTTTGCTGGGTTCCCATTGGCAGTTTCAGGGCTGTAGAGGTCACTCACCTCAATAGACACACTGGTCCAACATCAACTCGCTTCAACAACACCGCCCATCTCACTCAGGGTCACAAGTAATTCACACCATCACCATTCACGTCTCCGGGAATTCAAGCGAACCTGGCAATTCCATGCATCTGTGACACCGGACCAGCTCATTCCAAAGTTCTCTCGTGGGTATTGGCCTTCGAAACCGGAACGAAAGAATGCGGCTATCCCGGGGATCGCGTACTTTGGGTGTAGAGTCTCTTTCGTCCCAAGTCGTGTCCTTACCCAGCACCGCAAGCCGTCTACCCGATCTCGCTCATAGAAAAGTCTACGTGCTCCCGCCATGCCCAGACGGAAGGAAATGGGTCATGTCTTCACGCAAACGCCCATCACTACTAGCACATAGTCAGGTTTGACGGCCTCATCAAGTTATCCTCTCCCGCTCTCGCAGACAACAAAAAGAGTCGAGACAGTACGCCAAAGTCAACCATGTTCTTTCGTTAACCTTCTGAATCTCTATTCTGATCAATCGGGTCACTTTTTCTTCCCTGATACGACACCCAAACTTGTAACCATGACTTTCCACATAACCAGGAAGCAGCGCCTGACTGCCACAATCGCCATATCTGGTGCCTTCTGTATCGCCGAGCTAGTTATCGGGTTCCGCACAAAGTCGCTGGCACTCATCGCCGATGCTTTTCATTATGTAGGTGCAGCTCGATACTAGTAAGCTTCCTGTGAGAATCAGGATTTGACAGAGTAACAGATGAACGACTTGATAGGGTTCGTGGTTGCATTACTGGCGGTCATCGTAAGGCGAATTTCACCGAAGCCGGGAAAATGGTTGATATGTTTATGTCCACTTCTAGGTCTCGGAACGCGCCACCTCCCCCAGAACCCTCACTTTCGGTTGGAAACGTGCTCAAATACTCGGCGCATTCTTCAACGGGGTGTTCCTTCTCTCTCTGGGTGTCAGCATCCTACTTCAAGCAGTCGAGCGATTTATCAACATCACCCGTGAGTGTCTGTACACATATCTAGTCATTGGACAGGCGGTTTAACGCGTACCTAGATGTTAAGGATCCCGTGTTGATACTGATCATGGGATGTATTGGACTTGGTCTCAATGTCCTCGTTATATGCTTCCTAGATGGTCAGCAGAGTTCGAACCGTTGACATGACGAGATGCTGACACACTTCATAGAGAATGACGACAGCAACGATGGTGGGTACGAATCTGATCAAGGGGAAGGAGAGTCGATCAAGGAGTCGGTTGCCGTCGCTTGCACTTTTCCAGTAAATGTAGGTGTCCACTTGCTCATCGTTTCGGAGTCTGACAGCTGGTAGTCAGAACAAGCGAATACAGACTCCAAGGAGGCCAAAGCGGAGAATCACCAGGTCGGTCGAGATCTCGGTATGCTCGGCGTCATGATCCATGTCATTGGTGATGCTATGAACAATGTCGGCATCATAGTGGCAGCCGTCGTCGTTTGGAAAGGGAACGGGGACGGCCGGTTTTACGTGGACCCCGGAGTCAGCCTATTTATCGCTTCGACCATCATTGCCTCTGCATTGCCTCTTTGTGGGAGAGCTGGTCACATCTTGATGGAGAGCACGCCGCCCCATGTTGACCTGGACGATATTCGAGCCAAAATAATCAAGGTAAGAGTTCGCATCTGAGCCCTTGAAGCGGCCGTTGATTTTGACGAACATCAGATGCCCGGGGTCGAGTCGGTCCCAGAGCTCCTTGTGTGGAGAATCGATCAGAAGACGATGCTGGCGACGGCCCATGTAGTCGTTGCGGACGACAGTATCAGCAGCTTCAACCCGAAGGCGACAGCCATCGGCGCAGTTCTACGGCCTTATGGAATTCACTCGATTGCGTTGCAACCTGTACCCCGACTCCACAAAGGCACAGTCACTCCGGATGCAGCAGGCTGCGATGATCCCAAGTGAGGTTATGGAGGGGTCGAAGTCTGTTTGGCCAACGAGGCATGATTGTCCTTCTGCGAGCTACAGCTTTGGATAAGCCAACGCTTGCAAAACAACCGCATTTTATCAAGCCTCACGGGATAGGGTCTTGGGTCAAATGTTCGTAGGACGACGAGAAGTCATGGGGGTTGCCACTCCGATATACTTGGTTTCTGCGAGTCATCGTGATCAGTAACTTCGCCTTAGCCGACGATATCCGTCAACCCATAGAGATGCACTGAAACAAGGTTAGGGTTCAAGCTGAGAATAGGCTGCTGCTTACGATAACGCTGTACAACATATGACAGAAGGCTCTCGTCAAGCTGAGGTGAGAATTGAGTGGTAGTGCATCGCCTCCACGTTGCACAGCTCACATCTTTAATGAATATGACGGCCAAGAATTTTGGCTGCAAGTGATGTACTTTGGCGGGTTGCATGGGTACTGTGCCACCTTTGCCTCATGCCCCGGGAAATGGACGAAAATAGCCCGGCCTGCTTGATTCCAATGTTGTTGCGTGGCGCCATGGATGGTAGGCCGGTGTATTCCCACTCGCTTTCCTGAACGTTGGATTGGAAAACTATGATGCTGGAAACGCCACAGATCGAGGAGCAGTGAGATTGGGGCTGTAGCTAATAGGGTCTCCGTATGTGATGTCGGCACTATTGTTTTTGCCTCGAGAGATTTCTTAACTTGGACATTTGCCGATCTAATGACTTCTTGTCCTTGAAAATAACCACACTTATCGCTCATGTAAATGTGAAGACGGCATGATCTGGCTAGCGTGAGACGGCGTATACAATAACGACGATCAGGACGAATAGCCATCGCCATTCACCTTTATAATCACCTCATATCTAGTGCTATCTTTTCGAACGGTCTCGACTCGAAGGGCTTTCGAGTCCCAAGACCACGGTAAGACCCTCTCTCTCTCTCTCTCTCTCTCTCTCTCTCTCTCTCTCTCTCTCTCTACGGCGAGTGACGCCAGGCCCACCGAATTGCGTGGGGGCCCATCTGCCGAAAGTGGGTGCATCGTGAATTGCGGGCTTGGAACCAATTCTTTTGAACGACTAACCGACCGGCATCGACTTGGCGGTACTGGCGTTGAATGCACGCGATCTATGATTCGAGAAGTGCGGCGCTTTTTGTGTGACCGCTTTTGCTTACGTGCGTCAAGTCAGCGTCGTCTACCTATGGAATGTTGGCGTTTTGCACCACCCCATATCAGACTCGAGCCGTACCGCATCAATTTCGATAGTGACGCATAATTAGCGAGCAGTGTTCGTTTCTGAGAATTAGATACTCTTGGCTCTTCTTCTAGCCACTTGCACAATCATGAGTGCAACTGCGAAACGAGATTGCGGTCTTGTGATGTTGTGGAAGCTCCTGGCCCCGAGTTTGTCGTCGTCGCCCGATACGAGTGCTTGCGCCATGGCTTTTTTTTTTTTTTTTTTTTTTTTTTTTGCGACTGTCGTATGAAACATCTTGAACACGTTTCCATTGTGCAGCTGACATACCATATGGAGGAAAAATCGTCATTTGTGTGCCTCTGCTGCCATGTACAATAAGCCGGGCTGGCCCGGCCCGTGGCCTGAACGGATGGACAGGAGAATTCGGGCTGGGGGATTGGAAGACGTGGTATCAGCATGGGTTAATAACCGGCGGTCTCTAAATAGGTTAGGCTAGAGGAGCTGTCGGCATCACCAAGGGTAGGATGACCTGCGACAGGCTGGAGGGCCGGCAGGGTCAGGTGGCGCTCGTCAAGAGCGTGGCAACAGCCATGTACACTTGAGGATTTACCGTGTTGTTATCCATGTTGTTACTCGCCGTTGCAACCCGATGGACCATGTATCTGAAAAATGGCAGGGTCGACTCCGGGGAGGGCAAACCCATGGCTGATGTCACTAAAACGTTGACAACGGGGAACCGTTCCACCGGGTGTGCACTGTCGCATGGCCTTGTCTGAGGATTGGAACGGTGACTGGACAGATGGGGATTTTCTCTTGACTCTAGGATAGGGCACACCGTTGCCTTTTGATGGTTCATCTGGCCAATAATAAGTAGTAACATCACCACTGGGATGAGATCATACCGCGGCATGAGACTCGGAAGTTTGCAGGTCGTGGGTGACAACGTATTCAATAGTGGTGAGGTAGGTAAATGCCGATATACGCCCGCTCACCGCGTGTGTGCTTCCGGACTCCGCTTGCCATCTGCGACCCGCAGAACCATGCGTTGGGATGCTTTTACAATGACGCGATTGTCAGTCTGCCAGCAAACATGTCCAGGAGCCTACAAGCTGGGCCATGCGTCTACCCTGTGACCATGGAATAGAGTAGCCTTGACCGGGTTGCACGTCGAGAATAGATAGCTTGTACACTCCGCTACCTACACCGTAAGGTGATGATGATGCCCTTCACAAACAGGAACATCGCAAGGGGGGGAGGACAGACCGGGGTGCCTGATCGAGTTCCTATCATGGAAGGTGCATTCAGCAGCCGTAACATGATCGGCGAGTTCTTTTGTTCGTCTATGGAAACAATGGCCCGAGTACCGACAACGAACGGGTTCTCGGGAAAGGGCCGATGTGTATGATAAGCCAAGGTTTAGCTGGGATCTAGGTATGGCGGCCAGCGGCGCAGTCAGGACTGTTGTTGGGAGAAGTTGGGCTTGGTGTGCGCTTCGCGTGCTGATGTGCAGCTAGTGGTAGACAGACAGTTGGCGGACAAAGTGGGCACATGGCGGCAAGGTTGGCGACGGCGACCACAGACGCAATAATTGGGCTGCAGCTGCCCTACATACATACGTGTATGTGTCTCATCTGCAGCTCGTGCCTCAGCGTGTGGACATGAGTGTCGGTTCTATTCGCGGGCCTTGAAGGGCTCATTGTGGTGGCAGTGCGACCCGAGAACAAGGCGCGCACGGCGTCACGGTTGTGAGTCAACTCGGTGAGTTGCACGGGGTTTGATACAGAGTTTCGTAAACATGATGAATATGGTTCCTTCGTAGGCGACTTGTCAGGGGGAGGGTGATGCTTCCCCCCCTAGCCAGGGAACAATCATGAGTGACATTCGTTCAAGGTTCCGGTTCCAGTCGTCCCGGGGAGCCGCTCAAAGAGCATGCACCCCGGCTTTGCTTGCCCAGGTAACGGCAACGGGTGTCTGGTCTCTGGGCAGCAACACTGCGTGTAGGAAAAGGAGTGGATTGACGGTGGTTGAGGTGGTTGTGTGTCGGAAAGGGTAGCATCTCTGTGCCGGAGGATGCATTATCCTTGGATATCCTTGACCATGGATGAAGGAAAACATGGAAAGGCCCGGGTCGGTCAGTTGGTGACTTGGCGGCTCCCGGAGGAGCACAGGGACCGGAAAGAGGAAGCTGGGAAGAGGCCAAGCCGGTTTGGAGTGGGCAGTAGTTATGTCGCAGCGATGTGTCTGCAGGTGATGTCTGGTATCGCGGTGTAGTCGGTCTAAGTGAGGTTTCGGTGTATCACCGAGATGCATGAGCCGTCGAATGAGTCCATATGGAGGAGCATCTTTCAAGAGGAGTGGCGACTGACAGGCAACGGGTGCCCCGCGTGGTCTGCCTTCGCTCCACCGCCCCAGGAATGAATAGCTAGGTATGCCGTGCTTGTCGCTCGTCCATGGGGAGCAGCCATGCCAAGAAGAAGTTGCAGGTCACTCGCAGGCAGCATCATGGCCAACGTTGACCTGCATGTCGTCCCCCCTTGTTTCTCTGGATCAGCGAGTGCGGAGCACAAGGCCAAGGCTCATTAGCTGACGACGGTGCCCTTTGTAAGCGAGTGTTGAAATTCGGGGAACATCTGCCAGTTGTCGCAAGGGTACCTACTACGTAATGCCTGGGCACTGACGGCGAGCGACAGGCAGGAAAGCAGAGGATTGATGTGCTGTCGGTCCCGTCCCTGGATCGCAGAACAATCCTTGGCCCCGTGCGTGTCCTTTTGCTCAGACAAGGAGAGGCTGTAAAACCCACCCATACGTGTTGGTGCTCCCCCGTTATAGCCGGTCAGGTTTCTGGTGAGACGAACCAGAATAGAAACATCTCCTTGATACGCGCCCCTACCCCCCACAGCAGGAGAGTACAGAGCGTAGCACCGTTCTGGATGACGCTTTTGTGTGTCGCCGCCAAGGACAAACCCCGAGGTGGGCGTGGGAGGTTAGTGGAAGAAGCCGCGCGGAGGCTAAAAAAGCAACAAGAAGAATAAGGGAAAAAAAAAAAAAGGGCTGAGAGATACAGGATATCGAACAGGGAAGGGACCCGTGGGCGTGATTGCAAGCAAGCAAAGCAAGCAAGGCAGGGTAGGTACCTAGTCGACGACGAAGACAGGTGGGGAAGGCCACGGTCGACGATGCAATTTACCAAAGGGGTGGGAGAGGCCCAGGCCAGCTTCGCCAGTCGTTCAGAGACGAAATACCTAAGACAAGGCACGCGACACGGGGCAGGGACAAGGCCTGTAACAGCAGCAGCCACGGCCTGTTGTTGACCTGGAAATTGCGGTATATGGTCAGGCGGCCAGGTCCTTCGGTGCGGCAGAGAGAGAGAGAGAAACACTGTAAGCACACTTAGTGCGCCGGCTACTACCACTACCACTGCTGCTAGGACTAGGTGCCCCGGCTTAGGCCTGGAAGAATACCTACCAGTTCGCCCCAAAATCCAGGGTCTTCAAGCGACAAGAGCAGGGGCCCCAAGGGACCATGTACCCCCCCGCCGTTGCCCAGGAAGCTGGGGGGGGGGGGAGTCGGCGCAAGGTGTGCAAAATATGTACCTGATTAGTAGCCAAGATACGGAGTATTGTTAATCTACCTACATGGTAGGTACGGATACCTGTAAGTAGGATATCATTTCCCAAGAGGTCATGTTCTCCTCTGGGACCACTCTGGCCTGATACGCTTTTCCAATATTTCCTTCTTCTTCTACGGAGTACTGTACGGAGTATTGTACGGAGTATGTACGGATACGTAGTGCTAAACTGGTATACAGGGTACCCACGTATATCTGGCTCATTACAGCCTTATCCGACTGGCATTGTCGCTCGCGCACACAGCGATAGGTACTCAATTGCCCAAAACAGACGTGTGAAATGTACGTACCTCGGTTGATACTCGCCGCATCAGGCAAGGCAGAAGAGAGAGAGCCAGGGCTCTTCACCGCATTTTCGCGAATCCCTAGTGTAGTTTAGTGTATCCGGTAGCTCCTGCCCATACCATGCCCTGCATGCCAGGTGCTGACAGTTGGACAGTTGGGGGCAAAGACAGCGCGGGGTCTCTCTTGCCTTTGGAAACCCGTCTGCCTGGGTTGGAAGGTAAACAGAGATGCACTATGAGGTTGGTGGTGGGAGATGTTGGGTGAAGTGGCTGACGCTTGTTGCCGTTGCCGTTGCCGCTGCCGCTGCAGCTGACCAAGCCTGATAGAAGAAAGTGCCAGAGACATGACAATAAAAAAAATAAAACAAAACAAAAAGAGGCGGCCGTAAGTAAGTGCATACCTATTGACCGATATTTACCTAGGGGTAAGAGAACGATGGAAAGAAGAACAAAAATAAACCGAATAAGAATAAAACATGGGTAAACAAAAAAGAGCCTATGAGGTCAAGGACGAAGGTCACGGAAGAAGGCACGCACGCACGCACCACCCGTGGGCAGGTTCCGCACTGCCCAGCCCAATCCTATCCGGTCAGCTCCTTCCTGCCTCCTACCTCCTTCCTGCCTGACGCCTGTCTTCCTAATCCGACTTGTTCCACCCAGGGCTAAACTCTCAGACAGTCACTGGTGCAGTGTCCCCGCCGGGTCTATTTCGAAAGACTCCAAGAGATACGTACCCCACCAGCAACCGGCCCACTGACGATTGCGGCACTTCCGTGGCTACGTAGCGACTGTCTGTTGCGTTCCGTTGCTCCCATGGGTCCATGGCTCCTCTTAGCCTTTCTCATGCTTCATTTTCCCTCTTTACTCCTCAGTTCTTTTCCAAACATCTCAACCGTACGAGGCGCCGACAACAAACGCGCCTGCAAACACCATCATCGTCATCATCATGGACGCCCTGTTGAATTGACCGCATCACACACTCTCGCCTTCCTGGGCACATGTCCATGTCAAGTCCTTTACCGTGAGCTACCTCGTGCCTGCTACGACATAGGGGACACTACGGATACAGTCAGTACCTTTACCGGCCCCGACGGCACACAAGGAAGCATTAGCCACCACCACTGTCACCCACACACTGTCCGTCGCCCTTGGCTTCTTCTGCCTGTTGACCAGGTTCTCCCGTCGTCGGCTTCTGCCCCGCCAAGCTCATTATTCGCTGCCGTCCTCATTACCACCACCACCACCATCACCACCACCACCATCACCACCACCACCACGCCTACACGCACACGCACATATACCTACTCGTCACGCCTCGACATCCCGCCCACCTCACCTCCGATGCTCCCAAACCTCCGATATTACCACTACACATCACATTAGGTACTTCATACCGACTCCGACCGCTTTCTACCGGCCACTGTACCCCCAAATACGTCCCGTCCAAATATCATCCTTCTCAAACCCCGTTCATCCCGCATCCGAGTTGTTGTCCAAACCTCCCTCTCTCTTACTCTCTCTCTCTCTCTCTCTCTCACACACACACACACACACATCCTATCCTCTCTCTTCCGATAAGCAACACAGGAAGAAACGGACACCTTATATCCTGCCGACTTCGCTGCCCCCTCGGCTGCTCGACTCGACCATCTGCAGTTGGCACCACTGCCATAGAAATACCGAGCTCCCCTAACCAACTAACCCCGGCTCATCCTGATCCGTCGTTGTCATTCACCGCGTTTGTCCCGAGCATCTGGTTCCCTTTTGACTGCGTCACATCCAACTCGTCTGTCTGTCTCTGTTCGCACCCCCTTCCTTCAGCCTTCTGTCCGCCATCTTCCGATTAGCCGGTTCCGATAAAGTGCTTGCGTCGCGCCTGCTGCTCCCTCGTCTCAGCATTCCTTGGGACTCCCCGTCGCCCGCCAGACGCCCTCGGTCCCTCGCTCGCCCGCGAACTTGACACTCACCTCACTCTCGCGACCTTTGACCACCCTCATCCCCGCAGTTTGATTCGGAGCGCGCATCAGCGACCTGCAGTGTCGTACTTGCGTGCGCATGAGCCTGCCAGACATATCCAACTACCGCAACTCTCAACCACCTCCGATTTGCCCCACGCTTTGCGACCTCCCGTTTACTCATCGCCTTTAAGCTTCGACCCCCGGACAGCTCCCTCCAACTCCCCGTGCACCCCTCAACTCTGTTGGTCTCAGCCTAGCTCTAGCCACCACATGCCGCTCCGCGACGAATGAGCCTCACCCTGCACCATCACGGTTTCTCACGCAGCACACCCTCAATCACATGGAATTTCTGTCAGAAGCAATGCTGTTCCATCTGATCCGTCATCACTGCGCGCCGTGCTGAAGAAAAAAAAAATGGCGCTCCTCCCCATTTTCTGAACGACACGAGAGTCTACCAGCTTCTCCATCATTAACGATTTCCAGCCATCCCTTTCTCCCACGATGCTGGGGAAGCTCTTCAACTTGGGCACCGGGAGTGCTGCAAGTACTTCTGACTCAACGCAAACCAACAACAACAGCAGTAACTTTAACAACAATGCCGCTTACAAAGACTCTCCACAGACCCTCGAGTCCATGCAGGAGGACATCCATACCCGCAATCTCTTGTTTCCCGACACAGAAGCCTTGTATCAACATCGGAATGACCAAGTCTTTCCTCTGTCCATGGTCTCTGCTCTCCCTTTGGCGTCGATAGCAAGTGCCTTTGATTACGACGGCGACATCGACCTCGACATCCGCCATGTCCGTCTCCTTATCATGCAAGACGCCGTTGCTTCCCTCCCGGCACAGCTTCTGTTCGACAGCCATCCTGCGCCGCCAAAACCGCCTTCCATAACACCCGGTGAACGGCCGGTAACAGGCATCGGGACTGTGCAAGACTCTTACCGAGGTCCCACCTCGCCCAGGAAGAGTAGCCTCAACCAAACATCACGCCCTCTCGTGATCCAGCCAGACAGTCCTCAACCCCGCCAGGGTGCTTTTGATCGCAGGGCCTCAATGCAGGGTCGAGCTCAATCACAGGCTGAGACAGATCTCCAGCGCGCGCGAAGAGAGTACAACGACGAGATCCATGCCTTCGCCGGCTCCGTCTTTGGCAACTCGGAGTTGATGGCCTACAAAGGCACCTCGACAAAAGTCCACATTGTTCCCACCGAAACCCGTCCAGAATATGGAGGTTCCTATCTCGGCGATGGTCGTGGCTCTATCGGCAGGTCGAGCATGCGATCCAGCAGACTGGCACAGTCATATACATCGGAAAACGTCTCACCCATGCAACCACCACAATCTTTTACCTCCTCTGCCCCGAACACGCGGAGCCCGCCAGAGAGGAGAAAGATCCTCATCACGCGACTGTTTCCCGTCTTGCTTCCTAGCGACGACGACACACAGAGCGACACCCCCTTGAGTCGTTTCTCGGACTACAACACGGGGTTTCCGTTCCCGCAGTCTGCTGACGAGGCAAATGCCCCCAAGAAGAAGAAGCCCCAACCCAAGCAGAAGCGCACGCCAATGTACGCAGTCGTATTGGTGATTCAACTGCCACCCACTTCGGGTTCGATGCCACTCCCCTCCACCATTAGGTCGACTTTCCGCGGCGCCAGCTCCTACACGGAACAAGACTCGTTCCCTTCTTCTGTGGGCTCGGCTCGCCGCTCGGGATGGACCATGTCCGGATCCGGATTTCCGACCGACTCGATGGAATCATCATGCTCGACAGACGTGGACGACAGGATGGATACCGTCACGCAGCATTGGGATATCATCATGCGAACGCTGACGCATCTTCAGGGGGTGGTTGCCACCACACTTGGTACCTTGCTGAGACAAACCGACATCTCCTCGCCGGACCCTTATCCGAATTCGGTGTCTTCGTACGTCGGCAGAGCCCCGTCGATGAGCGGAAGGAGGAATGAGGAGCCACATTTCATCAAGCCTCCTAAAACCAACGCCAAAGTCATAGCTTTGCAGCCCCATTGCTTACAGAACGACAACAGCGTTGTGCAAGAGGCCAACTCTGCCAGGATCCGGATCGTCACAGGTCTCCGCGCCCAACGGGTCATCACAGCACAGGGGAGGTGGGGCATTTGGAGGGACGAGGCAAGATGGATGGCGAGAAAGGCTGGCGAGAAGGAGCATGGGTTCTTCTTCTTCAACCTTCTGACCGGTTTTCTTGCGACGCACACCGACTGGTTGAATGCCATGAGTCCAGCATGGTACCGTCGAAAACATTACCAGCAACAAAAGTCAAAGGGCGAAGACGACCTCTCGTTGCCGGCACGGACAGTCATCATTGCTTCGGACAAGATGCTTGCACGACGCCTCATCTTCCTCCTTTCCGCGTTCCTCCCATCGCACCAACATCTCTCATCGGCCAGGAACCACCGGCCGAGCACCTCTACATCCTTTGGGGCATTTTCTCAGTCGCCACCTTCACTGATCATCCCCATTCTCCGTGAAGAATCACTGCGGCGAAAGATCAATAGACGCCCGGGCCCTAGACGCGTCTCTCATTCACGGACAGTCAGCCAAAGTACACGTGCATCCGGGGTTCCCCCTCAGCTTGCGCACTTGAGCATGGAGAGTCGCCACGAAAGGCATGTTTCGGATGCTGCTTCGATACGGTCCAACCTGCCTATCCCAGGCAACGACCAGGTTAGCCGAAAGAGCAGCGCAGCCACGACCACGACAATCACCCCCGAGACTACTATCCCGCATTTTACGACCGCTCAAAGGTTTGAGAACCGGCGAAGTCTTCGGCCTGGCAGCAGCGGCAGTGTCGCTGCCGACGACCTCAAGAGGACGTTGAAGCGAGGCGAGAGCTCGGGACACGTGAGCTCGGCCAGCACAGACTCCCGTTTGTCAAGCTCGCGTTGGGGCAGCGTCATAAGCACCCTATGGAATGGCAAGAGGAGAGACTCGACTGGTCTCACCACCCCAAACTATCCCTATGGCAGCAACCCCACGTCTCCGACCAAGTCAACACAGGGAGGGCGCCGGGACAAGCTAGCAGACATGGTAAGAGAAGTCAGGACCGAGGGTTATCGTCGGATGGACGACCGAGGTTACAACGGAGGCGGCAACGACAACGGACCTACCACGCCTCGAGGCTTTGACGACCAGGCCATCGACGACCCAATCGAGAGAGTCGCTTTGCCGGAGCGTGTCCCCGACCCCAGCGGCGACTTCCGGTCACCTGTCAAGACATCGATCAATGCAGAGGATGGAGTCATAGACGTGGATATCTCGTTTCCCGACTATATCACTTCTTTCGAGACGGCAGTTAGCTCGCCGTCGAGCAGCGGCTACTTGTCCACGCCCGGTGTTGGGAACGGTTTGGAAGGCTTCGAACAGTTTTCCCGCGTCACTATCGACGGCGACTCCCCGATGAACGTGGCAGGGTTTCTTCAGCAATACCATCAGGACTTCATTCTGCAGGCGGTCCCCCCCCAAGATAGTCTCATGGAAGAAATCAGAAAATCGATGAGGGCCGAGCCGACTCCATTCGTCACGCTGCCATTCTACTCGGCCGAACAGCCCGCCGACCGCTGGGTGGATGTCAGTAGCGCTCTCATCGCAGACACGACAACGCACACGATTAAGCGAATCCGTTACCGTCGACTCATTCGACCCAAGCCTTTCATGGACAGGTCGGCTCCTCTTGGTTCTGCGGGCTCAAGCAACTACGGTGCTGCCCCAATGACCCCGTCTATTCTCCCGTACGAGACACAGCTTGACGACGAGTTTCTCGAGGAGCCGATTGCTAGTCTCGATGAGGTCCTGATTGAGGCCGTTGAGAGAGTCATTGCGCAGAGCAACGAAGTGAGCAAGCAGGGTTCCTCAAATTCGTCGCGATCAACCAGCAAGAGAAGAGACCGTAGCAATAGTGAGACATCCGTCTCGGTCGATTCTCATCACACCCCCCGCATCCCGATGGCGTCTCAAGAAGTTCCTCGAGACCAGTGTAAGACAGTGGTCTTGTCGGCTCTGGACGAAATCATCCGTGATGTTATCGAGGAGCGGGACCACGACCAACTCGACGCGGCCGTCCACCAGGCAGATCGAGACCGCGAAAGTACTCTCCGAGAAGCCGTCAGGATCTGGCTCGATGCCGTCGACTCTAGCGAACAACTATAAACTTGAAAGAGACGGAAAGGCAGCAAGCCTATGAACGACATTGGCCAAATACAATTCGAAATTCACGATGTAACGACATCTAGTAGACGCCGTAGGTCTGCTTGCTAGTCCATGTATCACCACCACCACCAAACCAAACATTTTCCTTGGTCCGGAGACAGACAGATAAACTGAATTGATACCCCCAAAGTAGAAGAAAGTCTTTTTGTTTTTTTTTTCTTATTGCGAAAGTGCTTGCATCTACATTTTGGAACGATGCAGCGGCCTGCGATTGGCGGGATAGGCATTAGGGACGGCCACAATATGGGTTCCCGTTTGGCGTTTTTCTTATTACTGGGGAGGGGGGCATAGGTTTATTGCCACAAGCAGCTACCATTTCTATGCAGAGAAGAGGAAACGGATGGAAGGGGCGTCTTTCGAGTGTGGGGTTTGTTGAGGCCTTGTTTCCAACTAGCTAGGAGCGAGCGTATATGAAGTAATAGTTACAGACCCTTTCCTGGCATGAACTTAAAGACGGTGGGAGCTTTTATCCTATTTTATGTGGCTCACAATGTTACACGTCTTTCGACCGTGCTTGTCACCCTTTTCGTCCCTCAGGGTCATTGGATTGTGTCCCAAATCGTCAGCCAGAGTCGATGGATGCTCGGCCCTCGGTTCTGTAAGGTGTTGAGAGAACGAGGTGGGAGCCACGACGGATAACCGCAGGTGTGCCGGCACAACTTCATTGGCGACACTTCAAGCATAACATCACGAAGGTTCAAGCACACAGCTGCCACGTCTGACAGTCGTAGTATTGACTGGATATTGAAAATGACTTGCAACCCCTCGCAACCTAGATAAGCGAGGGGGGTGGAGTAGGTATCATTCCCAATGCAAAAGTGATGACGGACGCAACCCGTCCATTCACGGGAGCATGTTTTGCCCATAAAACCACCCACGCTTCCTCATTTCCCGCTTGTCAATACATAACGCCCCTTGTCTTGTTTCGAGTCCCAGCCGTTGCCTGGCAGGGCGAAAAAGCGAAACACTCCCGAATCTTGTGTAATGTAAGAACGGCAAGCAATACCAAGTGCAACAGCACCCGTCAACTCTCATGTTCCTCCCTCTTCTCGATGCAAACCCATTTACCCGTGAAATCCTGTATGTGTGCAATGCGATGATGATTATGATGATGTACATGTGCAATGGGAAGAAAGTTGGTTGGGTGAAAACAGGTATGTCTTCTTTGCTGCCCGGATTCTATAGTCGCAATCGCATTCGTGTCCATTGCGGCAGATGAGAAGGTATGTGGGCAAGGAACACAATGGCCATGTTGTGTCTAAATGTTCAGATGAAGTCCATGTCATCAAAGTCGCCGTCGGCATCGTCTTCGGCTTCAGTCGGAACCACGTTTTTGCGTGGTCGGCCGCGTGGCCTCGGTCGCGATGTTGAGCGCGCGCGCTTCTTACGGTTTCCGGGCAATACGCCAGCCTTTCTCTTACGGCCTCGACCATCGGCTGCAGGGCCGTCGTCCTCGTCATCGCTGGGCGTGCCGGCATCTTCGCCGTCAAGTTCATCTTCGTCAGCCACCTTGAACTCTTTGTCGACATTCATTAACTCAACGAAGGCCTTGCACTTCGCCAAGGTAGCTTCTTGCGATGTGAGCCCGTTCATGTGCGAGTTGACCTCCTCCCAGAACTTGTCTCCTGTCACGCCTTGGACCTTGGTAGGCGCTTTGCTGAGGTCTTTGGCTGCTAGCTTCGTCTTCGTCTCACGCTTGCTACCCAGGCCATAAAGACGCCGAAGATAGGTTCTCGCTTCCCAGAGGCAAAGAAGAATGATGGATCCAGAAGTGAGCTGGCGAAGCCTCTTTGGGGGAACGGTTAGATGGGGTTGTGTTGGCTGCCCGTCGCCCTGCAGATCATCTGGTTTGTCCATGTCCATGCGCACGTTGAATATTTCAGATTCAATAACATGTGCCATACTGGACCCAGTTGTCGAAAATAGCTTTTCCATGGCGTTGACCGTTACCAGGACTTCTCCAACTGTCACATAATCGAAGTAAGCAAGGTTTTCGATCATGAAGCGGGCATATTCCACATGTGGGGGCAACGGCGTGGAAACGTCAAGCTTCGATGGGTCGAAATCAACTTGGAAGACGAGTTTCTCCAGGAGCCTTTGTCGGTTCTTGGACTTGCTCACTTTCAGGACCTCCATTAAAAGATGAAGCTTGGACTGGAAAGGGTTTGTGGTTGCACCGCGAGTATCCTTGACAATATCCCGCTGGTACTCGTATGCAGCTTGGATGGCCCTGACGTATTCTCGTTCGATGACAGTTTCGTGCTTCTCATGAAGCGCTCGGTGCTCCATGAATGCGACCTCGGATATTTTGGTCATTGACGAAGTTTCCAGCGTGATCAGGGTGACGCCAGTTTCTTTAGGATGAACGAGACCTTGACGGTTGATGCTCCCTAGAACTTCGACCGCAAGAAAAGCGTGCTCATCTTGAGATGACAAGGCGATCCGGGTGATTTCTTTGAGAAACCGCTGAGTGGTCGCGCTCGCCACATCGTCGTAGTTCGTTCCACCCATTACAGTCAGCTCGCGCTTCTTGTCACCCTCGGAACCCGTGGTAGCGGCAGCAGTGGCAGCTTCGGACCGCTTTTCTTCAGTAATGAGAAATTCTTTGAAAGACCGGAGGATCGTGCTCTCCAGTGCTGGAATTCTGGCCTCAAATACTTGCTGGAACTTGGTGTAGACATTTGGCGAGACGTAGTTTCGGGGATGGGCCTGGCAAATAAGACCAATGGCATCAAGTGCATGCTTTCGGGCTTCCATGACCTGCGACTCATCGGCCCAGGGTGACAGGTTGTCAACCATGAGCTTTGCAACCGACGTGCCTGAATACTTTGGGAAGATCTTCTTGAAAACGTCAATCTCGGAATCCAGATCACAATGTTTGCCGACCATCCCCACAATCGTCGAATATCTGGCAAATTTCATGAGCTTGGTGGCATCCATTTGCGTGTTCCGCATGCTGGCGACTCCGCGCAAGCTAGATGCGCCCAAGTAGGCCAGCTTGTCGCGGTTGTCCAAGAGATCGGCAATGATCCACAGACAGGCAACAACATCATCCAATAGGTTCTTGTTAAGCCTGCCAACAGAGTTCTGCAGCTGCTCTCTCACTTCACGGAGGAAGTCAGCGTACTTGCTAGAGAGTTGCGGCAGCACCTGGCGGTAGATGACAGTAACAGCCTTGAACACAGCCAGATCATCGGCGCCGCTGATGCTAGAAAGATGGGGCTTGAGAAGTCTGATTTCCTCGAAAGTGAAGAGTTTCGGGTCTGCCTTTGCAAATATCTGCAAGACTTGGAGTGCATCTCGTCCCGGGGGGATCGTAGGGTCGTCTGAATCGAGGTTGTCGATAAGCTCAAACATCTTTTCAACCAGCTGCATACTGACTCCAAAAGGCCCGGTCTGAGCCTTGTTCTGTCCACCTCCAAGGATAGATTGGAGTACTTTGTCGAGGACAGCGCCCACATTTCCGGACTTGACCGTTTGGATCATGAGGGCAACATGGTCGGTCAATGATGTTTTGAAGGCTGCCGTATCGTCGACTTGGTAGAACGGGGCGAACCACACCTCTTCGATCATCTGCCGAGCCAGTTCCCGCACACCTTCGTCCGGGTCCTGCACGCGATGAAGCAAGCCGTTTGCGATATTGCTGCGAATCTCCCGGCTCTGATTGCGAAGATAAATATCTCGAGCCAGCTTCATCGCCCTCTTCCGCACGCCGATACCAGAGTCGATGAATCTCTCAATGATTCTTTCCGCCATCTTGTCCTCAAGTCTCGGGCGTAGACCGATGCATTTACCCATCAGGCCAATGGCGGAATCTCGCACCTGAGGCGAAGAATCACTCGAACAGTTAATAATCAGATGGACGACTACAGAGTCACCATCCAAGATGGCGGGATCGGTCTCCAGAAGCTGGTTAATGCTCTTGAGACTCTTGCTGCGAACGGTAGCCTGATCACTAGCCATAGCAGTGAGAAGGACATTAAGCATAGCCTTGAAGTGCTCGCAAAATGGCGAACGCAAGAGAATGATTGAATAAGCGAGCTTTGCATGTTTGTTGGTGACGTCTTTGAAGGTGTATTCGTTAGAGAGCCATCGTCGATCCTCGATCATCATGCGGAGTCGGAAAGCCAGGCGTCCAAACTCCTGATCAAGAGAATCGTAGGTCTCCTGCATGGCGTCATAACCAGAGAAAATTCTCTGAGCCCAGTCTGCGATCAAGAAAGATATGGCGCCCTGCAAGTGAGGATCGTCGCCAGAGCGCCGTTGGAGATGCTCCAGCGTCGTTCGATATGGGCCGGACCACGACACATCATGCTCGACACGGATTTTTTGCTCCAATGCGGCGGTCGCCAGCTCCGAGAGATAGCGGGAAAGTTCATTGGAGTCACTGCTGTCCATCGTGTAAGTAATCTTGCGAACATGTGATCGTAGTTTGGAGACCGCAGCACTCATGACGCCGAGAAGTTCGAGAGCCATGTTCTTGGCAGGTGCCGCAGTTCTGTCTCCTTCCCAGAGCTTCATCATATAGAATGTCATTTGTCGCAGAATCAGCTCGGCAGATGGCCAGTCAGGAGAGTCGAGGCACTCAGTGAAGTCCTCCACAAACAGATCGAGCAGGTTACGGTAGGGAGTGTCGCCGGACTTTGTAGACTTCAGAGCGCGGTTGACCATGAAAGTGACGACGTAGTTGGCGTTGTGGATGGAGCCTTCTGTCAGGGGCAAAGCAACGGATTTGAGTTCTTCCAGCGCCAGATTGTACTGCGAAGCACCTGCTTCCTCAGACTTTATGGTCGCAGCCACAGCCTGTTTGCCAGGTTGTGTCATCTCCTCATCTCCGTCGGCATCTTCGTCCGCCATCATTGCCAGTCGACTGCGAGTGCCCTTCTCGTCGACCTTGCCGGAGCTGGCTTGCACGAGACGCATGATGAGCGCCGACACTGGCTGGATGCTCCCCCCGTCCGACAAGCGGAACTGGCGTGCGCTCTGCTTTCCGACTGGGAGTTTTTCCAGCGAAGTAAGAATATCGTCGAAGATGCCGCGACGTTGTTCAGGCTTGGCAAGAAATATTTGGCAGAGCATCTCCATTGCAGTAAGGCGAATCCCATCGAATTTCTGTATGCCGACAACAGAGTCTTTTTCGAGATAAGCATTGTCCACGAAGAGAAGACTGGATGCAGCAAATTCCAAAGTGCCCAGAGCGGTATCTGAAAGCTCAATGCTAGTGACGAGTTTGGCGAGCAGCGCAAACAGCTTCTGACAGTTCGTGAGAATCGGGCCAATCGCCTTTTTATGGGGCTGCAGCAATTTGAAGAGGGTAGACGACGAACCGCTGCCTCTCATCTCAACAACAGGAATGACGATGCCCTCAACAACGCCCTTGAAGACGTCGGTACACTTCTGGATAACCTCCTCCGAATAGATCTGCTTCTCTTCTCGACCACCGCACATTATGCGAAGGCATGTACGGGCTGTCTTGAGACCCATCTCGATTTCGGGCAGTTGGTTCAGCCAACCAGCAACATCCGACTCGCCCCAAGACTCTTCGACTCTGAAGTCAAGGTTGAGGGTGTGCATCAGTCCAGCTTCACTCAGTTTCTGCATATACTGGAGATCCTCGATAGGCGCCTGGTCGTAGCTTCCGAGATCAATGGCCTTAGCGATAGCTGTTTGGAGCTTTTGCTGTGTTGACCCTGTCAAGATGGCCTCATTGTCGCTGTTCAAAGTGGCCACCTGCTCGTAACCAGGTTCGTTTCCGAGAACATGCCTAATGGCATCGAAAACGCTCTTAATCAGCCGTTCGAGATCCTGCAGTGCTGCTTCGGCTCGCTGCCGTTGGTTGAGATTGGTGCTGATATCATCCTGGCGGCTTTGGTAGGCGCCGTCTTGTCTGCGCATCGACAATCCTGTAGGCTCATCGGGATAGTCTGATAAAGCCATCTCAACATATTCATCTTTATTGAATTCAGGAGCACGAGGTAACTCAATGGCGAAAGACGTTTTTTGGGCATCGGATCGTCCTGGCGTCCCTTGCTTGGGGAGTTGCATAGGAACATGTTCCGTGGGAGTAGTCTGAGTGGAACCACTTTGTGTAGGGGCGAATTGCACTGGATGTGGAGGTTGAACAAGCGTTTCCTGCTTCGGGATAATCTGCGTTGACGTAGCCACTCGAGTCACCTCGGACGGGTTGACGGTAACTGGCAGAGGGGCGGGTTGATCAGGAACCTCCACGTATGCTTTGGGATCGAATTTCTTAGAAGGGATCGCAACCTCGAAGCGGAAATTGTTCCCTTGGTGTGTTCCTGCACTTGTCGATGACTGCTTCGGCGGCAGAGTGGCTTTGGGTGTCGAAGGATGCTGTAGCGGCTGTTGAGTGACCTGTCCGTTGACTGGGGCAAGGCCGGGTGTTCCAGTAGATGGCTTGATGAATGTTGGTGCCCTATCAAACACCATCTTGGCTACTGGCGAAAGGCCGGCGCTAAGACTCTGGGGGCCAGCGGGACTCGACGTCATGTTTGCATTCGGTTTGGGGACGGCCTTGAACTTGCTGCGCGAAACACAGGGTTAGAGCTCGATGCATGTTTAAGCCAGAGAAAAGATCGCCAAACTTACAAGTATGTCCGCTGGTTAGGCTTCAGGTCATGAAGTACATGATCGACGGCATACTTCAAATGCTTCAGCCCGTGGTTATGGTTCGGCCCGGTGGCCTCCTTGTTGAGACTGTCGTATTCCTGACTGTTGAACATATGCGATATGCTCGAAGCAAGCGAGCCGGAGCCGAGCGTCGGGTCGGGTATGAGATCTGGTAGATGTTAATGATCCAACGAGTTCGGGGAATCAAGATGAATTACCACCTACCTGACGTGAAGGGGATGACGGAGGTCTGGGGAGAGTAGGGCAAAGCCTCGGGCAGGGTAAACGGCCGCGCCATAGGACGCTGATCCGCGGCCGGCGGCTGCATGTAGCCGCCGTTCGGCGGACCATTCTGGATGGCCCCTTGGCTGTTGACCATATTTTCTGTGTCCTCAGACCAAGGCCGAGCCTCAAGACATGTTATTTCGAAAGGCAAGCAGAGAACCGAAGCGTTTGGTTGGAAGCTGGTCTTGAGGGTATTCAGAAACGCGCAAGACAGGGAAGGTGCCCCGTCTGGTCAGGTCAAATGGAAGAGAAGAAGAATTAAGGTTTCATCGGGAAGGAAGAAGCTAATCGCATTGTCTGAAAACGAAAATGCTCAGCAAGAAAGGGACAGCCTTGAGTTGCCGTCCGGCGTTGTTGTCGCCGTGGATGTGATGGGAAGTGGGAAGGTTGCGACAGCCTCGTGTGGAAAGACCCTTGTCAGTTGCGTGGTCCGTGCAGAAGCTTTAGGCAGTAGGACCGGCCAACCAGTGGCCAGTTGTTCCGTTCCTGCCTATTTTCCCCTGACTGACTTGCCCTTGTTTCCCTCAAGCTTGCAAATTGCTTAGATAATCCCCCAGCATCGGAGGGTCCGCATAGCCGTTAATCGATAAGCAAAGGAAAAAGTGCCGATAACGATGAGTGCCTGTCCCAAAATCATCCCTGATAGAAATATTTTGTCGATGGTTTCTGCCGCGATACTCCGTTGATCACCACACCCTCCGCCGGCCTAGTAACCAGCACCTCACCTACACCAGCCACCATGTCTGCCATTGGAACACTCGTCTTCTGTCACGATTGCGGCAACTTACTTCCCGCCTCAATGGGAACGGAGAAGAATACCCTTACGTGCGACTGCTGCGGCGCCGACAACAAGGGTAGGTTGAACCCAGTCAGCACATTCGAAGCGCAAGCCGAACTGACAGTGCCGTGTTAGACACTGGCTCTAAGACGATTGTCACCCAGACGAAGCCTTCTGACTTCCCGTCCCAACTGCGCCAGAAGCTGCAGTCCAATGTTCAGGCCGTCGACAGGGCCAACGTCAGCACCGAGGCAACGATTAAGGAGACATGTCCCAAGTGTGAAAGAGAGGAGGTCCGCTTCACTGCCGTGCAACTCCGCAGTGCCGACGAAGGCAGCACTATTTTCTTCACCTGCGACTGTGGCTTCAAGTACGCCGATGCCTCTGTTCCGAATGAACTAGCCACAATGCTTACTTACTATTTTCTAGGTGGTCTCAAAATAACTGAAATACACTAAACTTTTTTGCCCGTCGCTTTTAAGTACCTTAACCCACCCAATATTTACCTGCCGTCCGAACCTCCCAATACCATATCCATGGGTCTAGGCGGTCGCCTTGGCAGCCTCGGGGATCAACGCATATTCGGCCTGACCGCTGGACTCGAATTCGGCCATGTCCAACGCTACGATAACGCTCTCACGTACGACTTTCTCCTTGTCGTGAAGGAACTTCTTGAGGGTGTCCTCGACGCCCTCCTCATCTCCGAGGCTACCCAACGCCTCGGCGGCCTCGTGCCTCACCATGCTCGCCTCCTCAGTGTTACTGAGCGCTTCGGTCAATGCGGGGATCGACGCCGGATGTGACAGCTGGCCAAAGACAAAAGCGATCTCGTGGCGGAACAGAGCGGACGGGTCGGCGAAGCCCCTGGCCAGGGCGTGCACGGCCGGGACAGCGGTCGGCAGGTCAGGCGGCGACGCAAGATCGCGTAGGGCGAACATGGCACGGTAGCGGAGGAAGAGAGGCAGCTTCGGGTCCATAAGCGTCTTCTCGAGCTCTTCGACGGTGCGTTGGGACTCCTCCATGGGGGGCGCGGGGTCTACAGAGGTGAAGTCGCTGGGGGAAAAGGACATAAGCGTTAGCATGAAAATTCACGATACCCTTTTCCCTCCCCTTCAAAATGCAAGCTCAGTGCATCGCCAGCCAAGGCATCTTACCTCTTGCGCAACTTCTCCAACTTCCTCTGCTCCGAGTTCTCCCACTCGATGCGGTCAATGGCGATCTCGCATGTCTCGGTGATGCAGACGTCCTCGCCCTCGCGGTCTCTAAATTCCCTGAGAATATCCAGCTGACTGGCGTCGCCCAGCGCGCCTAGGGCCTCGGCGGCCTCATGGCGACACATGGGGTCCTCCTTCAGGTCACGGAGAACATCGCGCAGGTAGGGTACAGCATCCAGGTTTCCGGTCTGCCCGAGGCAGTAGGCGAGCTCGTGCTTGAGGAGGGCCGAAGGGGATGCGAAGGCGGCGGCGATGGCCTCGATAGCAGCGGTGCTGTCGGAGCCCTTGTTGTTGCAGGCCACGTGCTTAAGGGAGAAGAGGGCGCGGAAGCGGAGGGGCAGCGGGGTCGCCTCGGAGGTGAGCGTCTTGCGCAGCTCGGCGATAGTCTGGGTCTGGTCGGCGGCGGCAATGGCCTCGAGCGTCTCGCGCGTCTCGGGGAGGTCTGCGGAGGGTGACATAATGGCGATTGTATTGTTTCTAGGGTATTCTTCTATGGGCGAAAGAACTGAAAAGAAAAGTCAAGACAGGTGCCGAGATATCGCGGAGAGGCCGAGCAAAAAGGGCGTGGGCCGGGTTTCTAAAAGGTAGAATGGGTCAAAAAAAAGACTTACCTCCGAGGGGTCGTCTCACTTCAGATCTGATAAAGGAACTGTAGAATTTTTGCGAGGGGCACACAGCGGGGTGATTTTGGGCTCCGATAAGATCTGCCCCTCACTGTGAAAGTATTCCCTGCAGCCTGGCAATGGGTGGGAACACTACGTAGCCGCCGGGCAGATGCAACTGTTGCTTCGGTTCCCGCTTGACTGCCCTCTATAGCATAGAGTAAGGGTGAAATGGTCACATTCAATAGACGAAGCGGTCTATTAGTCCAGTTGGTTAGGACGTCGGATTCTGATATTGGAATTTCCGTAGGCCCAGGTTCGAATCCTGGATGGACCTCATCTTTTGCCCGAGATCACATCAGTTCTTGGGAATTCATCTTTTGTCCCTCATTTGCTGTCGAACAAGTTGCTATGCTTGCTACCGAAGACAATCTGGAAAGTTGCACCGGACGCTGTGGTTGACTCTCACTCTATTAAGTGGGGTGAACACCTCCGCGGGGTCGTATACGGCGGCGGCTTTGATGCTATTGTTTCGCCACCACTCAGCAACTCATTTTGTCCACCGCTTCCGCTCACCCGCCACTTCAGCAACGCAGGATCTCGGACTGTTGAGAATCTGGGCATAAACAAGTGGAAAACATTTCCTATTGTGTTAGTGCAGCCTCTTTCCCCCGAAGGCCAAAGAGCTTTCACGGTTCATGCTTTTTCTGAAATTCGCAGTAGAACGGCTTTTCACTCCGGCTTATCAATCAGCTTCAACTACCTTGGCCTCAAATAAAGGCCGGTGCCGGACCTGGGATACTGCCTCGAGGCAACTCGTTTACCACCCCTTGACCTTACGAATATCGTATATCCAGAAGATATTCTCTAACAAAACACCTCACACCGCGCCTTTTAAATATGGCCCCTTCTTTAGAAGAAGACCCGGAGTCGGTCCAGGACGTCCTCTCCAACCCTCTAAAACAGAAGCCCTCTCTAGTCGCCCCGGAACCAGAACACTGCCCGGGCCCGGAGTCCGCGACGGCAGGCACGGCAGACTCGTGCGCCGGCTGCCCGAACAAGGAGATCTGCGCCGCGACGGCTACAAAGGGCCCGGACCCGGACATCCCCATCATCTCCTCGCGTCTCTCCTCCATCGCCCACAAGATCCTCGTCCTTTCCGGCAAGGGCGGCGTCGGCAAGTCCACCTTCACCACCCTCCTCGCTCACGCCTTCGCCACGAACCCGGACAGCAGCGTCGGCATCATGGACACGGACATCTGCGGGCCCTCGATCCCCAAGATGCTCGGCGTCGAGTCCGAGACCATCCACGTCTCCGGCGCCGGCTGGTCCCCTGTCTGGGTCCTCGACAACCTCGGCGTCATGTCGATTCAGTTCATGCTGCCGGACCGCGACGCCGCCATCATCTGGCGCGGCGCCAAGAAGAACGGCCTGATCAAGCAGTTTCTCAAGGATGTCGAGTGGGGGCCCCTCGACTTCCTGCTGGTCGACACCCCGCCGGGCACCAGCGACGAGCACCTCAGCGTCAACACCTTCCTCCGCGACAGCGGCATCGACGGCGCCGTCGTCGTCACGACACCCCAGGAGGTCTCGCTCCTCGACGTACGCAAGGAGATCGACTTCTGCCGCAAGGCGGGTATCCGCGTACTGGGCCTGGCCGAGAACATGGCGGGCTTTGTCTGCCCCAAGTGCACGAACCAGAGCGAGATCTTCCGGGCAACGACGGGCGGCGGGAGGGCGCTGGCCCAAGAGATGGGGGTGCCGTTCCTGGGGAGCGTGCCGCTTGACCCACGAATTGGCATGGCGTGCGACTACGGCGAAAGCTTCTTCGACAGCTTTCCGGATAGCCCCGCGTGCCTGGCGTTCAAGGAAGTTGTAAGGAACGTCAGCAAGGAAATCGGTCTGAAAGACAAGGACGTCTTGCCCGAGTAGGTAGGGCATTGCTCCTAGTGAACGAGTTTGCGTTTAAACAAACAGAACAAAATAAAATGATATCCCCTTCAACTCATAGAAATCACCACTATTCAGCCCACCATCCATCACTCTTAGGATCAAGTGGAAAGTGCTCTTTTGGGATGGCATCAATTCAACATTGGCTTGTCCTATTGTTGAAGCATGTGTATTATGTACGCGAGCACCGCATACTACCGTTCTGTTACTTATCGCGTCGGCCAGCCCTGTGGTTCCTCCCGACTGTCTATATGTGCGCGACCTATGCTCAGCGTTTCCGTTTCCTCACGCAGCACCCAGCTTCTGCGGTATTTCCTGCAGGTCCTCGGCTTCCTGGATGTCGATTACGCGGCCAACCTCGCTCGTATTCCGCATCAGCTCCTTGGCGCCCGCGTACAGCATGCGGATCTCGTTGTTGCAGGTGATGGGGAGGTAGTAAATCAGAACGTACGGCACCGATAGGCGGCCGGAGGGCTGTTGGGTCACGGCGTCAACCTGATGTTCCCATTCCATCTACAAGTATTGGTGGTGAAACAGCACATACCAATGTGAGTGGGTAGCTCAGTAGCACGAAGCGCGGGCTGTGATCCGGTAGGTCGTCGCTGATCTCCTCGAGCGACTTGTACACAACCTTGTCGTCGTCTTGGCGGATCTCGTGGGTGTTCTTATCGATATGGTCTAGGGGAAGCGCGTCGGAAGTCAGTTATCGAAGCATTGTGCGGTGGTCTGTGTTGTTGACGATCGAGGACAAGCGCTTCGGCCGGGACATACATACATATGACAGCTTGAGGTTCGTTGGACCGCGAGGTCCCGAGGCGGAACTTGCGCAGGTGATCCTTGGTCTCCTGAGAAAAGGTGTAAAGCCGCGATTCCGAAGACTAGACGCAGAGACGGAAGTCAGCCCATCGTTGGGACGAGAGAGAAAGAGAGAGGCAGGATGTGACAGGAAAAGGAACACACCATGGTAGACTCGAATGCAGAATACCAGGGTCGCTTGAGGTATCCGACGGGTCCAAAACTTTTTAACAAAACCGGGAGCTAGTTCTTTGCAATGTATCTCTACAGGTATCGGCCGGAACTACCCAAGTTTTTTCTCTCCTCTTTCTTTTGTCGTGGTTGTCCCTAGTTGCAACACTGAGAGCGTCAGACCAAAAAGAGTCAGGTAAGCCACGACCCCTCCCCCGCTCCGCGACGGGAAGTTTGAGACCAACACATCGAAACCCCCGCCATTCGGCGGCACCTCGTTTTGCCCCACCAGTGACCTCACCCACCAACGCCCGCCGAAACTTTGGCCGTCCAATCCTCCCCGATCAGATTCCGGAGATCGGCCCTCATATACGTTATGATTTCAGATCCAACTTGGTCAAGCTTTGGCAGTTGTATTTGTAAGTACCAGTTAGTTTTGGGCTGTCGAATACCGCTACTGCCTGGTTAATCAAGATGACTTGTTGGCAAGCATAACCAGCTGAAGAGGTATCATGATTAGCTGCGGAGGTACCGAAGACGGGAATGAGAGTAGGGAGACGATGGATAATGGAATTAATATCTATGTTCATTTCCTAAAGCCTCATGCCATTGATTTGATCTCAGCGAAATCATGAGCAAACCAGCATTATGGTCATTCTTGTTGGCTACGGCTTTCACATATTTTTCTCTTATAAATTGCAACAGTTGAACTCGGGTTCTAGATCTCTGACCACACAGCGATGTAACCAGACCGTAAGATCATGGTTCGTATAGCATTGCTCGTATCAACGTACTCACATGCAGACAATCTCTCATGCCGACAGACCCATGACCAAGGCCTGCATCACACGCAAGGCCTACCTTGCACCACACCAGATGAAGATGAATCAGGCGATGTGGAAATCCAGCATCGGCGCCGGCACCTTTAGTAATGTATGCGTGAATCGAATCATATTATGCCATAGGTGAAACGCGAGGCCGCTCAATAGAAGAACCGCACCATCTTGAGAAAAAGAGGCTTCGAGCACCGCAATCAACACCCGGCAGTGTCTATTTTGCTACAGCCTACGCATCGCAATTTCTATCTTAGAAAACGGAAGATACTCAGCTACATAAGTTTTTGCCTGAGGTCGATTCCTATCGCTTGTTTGGTGAAGCTTCACAGCTTAGACCAACTGAGCAATGTCGTGCCGGACAAAACGCTTCAATTCTGGCTAAAGTACACATGCTTAGTACGCCTCAGTTGGCGAGAACGACACGAACACAGCTACCGGAAACGCTCTAGAGTGTTAGGGGGAGTCGCGTCTAGAGAAGTCCAGGGTCTCGCATACGTCTCATCTTACCCCGCCGACCGCTAGAGAATCTACTACAGAGCAGTACCTTTTTCTGGTGCCAGTGGACTTTGACAACGATATCACGTGACCATGCTGACTAGTCGCGCCATCAGCCGTTGCCGGACCCGCGGTCGGAGCCAGCAGAAACACTGCGACATGAGCTCGGAGCTTCAGTCCTTAATTCTCCTCTGATGCGTGCGAACTTCCTCTGATTCGTGACATGTAGTATTGCTTGATTTTAGCTTACATTCGTCGACTTAGGCGGGTTTCCACTCACCATAGCATCCCGTCAAGCCTTCTTCCGTGCCATAAAGTGTTTATACCTGGTCCGTTTCGATTCTCATCCGGTATATGACATCATCGATTTTCGTATCAGGAGAACCCGAGTGCGTCCGTGGCAGTAACTAGAACGCAACACAGGTAGTGAGACACGCATCGACACATCACGGAAGGCATATTCATGTTCGCCCGTCTCACCCAGTTGAGCCGGCATTTCCCTTCGGCCCAGACACTTACGCGAGCCGTCAAGCCGGCTTCCCCAGTCTCCGGTCTCGCTCGCGCCAGAATCATGGCCTCGGCCGACGAACGCAACACCCGCACCATCCACACGGCGGCATGTTTGATTATTGGAGATGAGGTCCTCGGTGGAAAGGTATGTTTCACGGGGCAAGCCCCCCCCCCCCCCCCCCCCCCTCTTTCCGAGTCCATGTGTGTGAAATTCTGAGGACTGACATTATGCCATGTTTATAGACCGTTGATGTAAGTGAAGTCAGGCGGTACGGGGAAAGATGTCGTTGAGCTGACGTGTTGACCGATCGCGCAAGACCAATTCGGCGTACATGGCCAAGTGGTGCTTCTCTTTGGGCATTGTAAGTCCTTCCGAGGCTAGCGGACCTCGGAAAGATGCTGATAAGCGGCCAGAACCTGAAGAGAGTCGAGGTCATTGAGGACGATGAGAGCGAAATCGTTGAAGCCGTCAGACGTATGAGCGATCGTTACGACTTTGTCGTCACCAGGTTTGTGGCCCAGTCCCGCCGCATCCGGTACCCCGAGGCTAACAAGACATCGCAGTGGTGGAATCGGGCCAACGTAAGGATCTAAACCTTCACCCTCTCCCCCTTGCCGGAAAGGCCATGGCTTATATGTCGACAGGCATGACGACATCACCTACCAGTCCATAGCCAAGGCTTTTGGCCTGCCCCTGGTTCTCAACCAAGACGCCTTCGAGCGCATGAAGAGGCTCTCCAAGCCGCGTCCGAACCAGCCGCAGTTCGACTGGGACGTCGACTCCCCAGCGCTGCAGGCCAAGCTGCGGATGGTCATTCTCCCCACCGACGAGAAGCGCGACCCCGGCCAGCAGTTCATCTTCCCCTACGAGGACCTCTGGGTCCCAGTTAATGTCGTCAACGGCAACGTCCACATCTTGCCCGGTGTCCCACGGCTTTGTAAGCCACCCCCCTGCACCTGCCACCCCCTTCCAAGGGCCATTGACTGACGCCGGCGGGAATAGTCGAGAAGCTCTTGGACGGGCTCAAGCCGAGCATCCTGCCCCGGCTCTCCGACCCGGAGGGCAATGGCCTCTGCCGCGTGCTCATCTCCACGCCGCTCCCGGAAAGTGCCGTCGCCGGTTATCTGACTCAACTCGCGGCCAGGGTAGAGCCCAAGGGCGTCAAGGTCGGCAGCTACCCTCGGTGGGAGCAAAACGGCACGGTCACGCTAGTAGGACGGTAGGCAACAACCAAACCCCATTCTTCGTTGCTGGTCTACAGATATAGAACAAGGTCTGTCGCTCTTCGAGGACGAGTGCTGACCAATTCCTACAGGGACCAAGCATACATCGAGAGCATCGTGGACGAGGTCGTCGAAGGCGTTCAGGGGAAACGCGTGAATGCGGAAGACGACGATGATGCCACAGCAAAAGCGTGAAAGGGTGTCGGTGATTCATAGCAAACTCAAGGCCTAGTCAGACAGCAACCCCATTTTCCAAAGGAAGTCGTGCCGTTGCAGTAACTACGACTGGCTTGCCGTCAGGTTTCCCGGCTGTCACACCATCGTCTCGATCGGAACCCAACCTTCATGATATGTCTGCTCTGCTCTGCTGAGATGATATTCTCTCTCCGCCGCTCCAGAAAGCCGGTGTGCGGCGTTTAAATGTCATCGCTCTGCAGAAGTTGAGCCGTTTCGGGCATGTGTCTGTTTCGTGCACAATCAAATTGCTCTGGTACCAGAACCGTCCGAGTCACCCCCGAAAGACGTAGGCCGCGGAAAGGCGCGCAAAGACCACAAACAGGCCCTCGCCGTGACCAATTTCGGCCCACGTGGAGAAGAGGAGACAAGAGGTGGAAGCAGGCGCTGATCTCTCGGGCCAACTTGTTTCGCACAGACAGAGAGACATGGCGCTGCAGGCGATTGATCCCGTAATTCCAGGTCACAGCCAACGGTTGCCTCGGATTGAACATTGGCCTGTACACTAGAACGGATGGCAAGACATTCACACCAATAGGCCCAGAGTATTTGATCAAGCGCCTGAAAGAGTTACACTGTACTTCCCGGAAGGTCTATCAAAGCCGTCTCTGCCAGCTGCGGCCTTGGCCTATATAGAGGCTTAGTCAGTAGGCGCCATGGCACTGTCCTCCTCCAAAAACCTTGTTTCTACTGGGGACGATGTTTACACTGTGTTTATCCATCGTGGTTTTATGTTGTTGTGGACCTGTGCGGCCCTACGAGGAACTGCCTCGGCTATGTATTTCAGTTGCTGACGATTGACAGGCTGACGCAGCATCGCGAACCACAAGCAACCCGTGCGAAACCTCTGCATGCCGCGCTGGGTGCAGATTGCGCTGCACAAGCCAGGGGTAAAGATGGAGATGATGGTTCTAAGGCTTCTAGAAAGACGAGGGTGCGTCACAGTCGCCATGTGATAATGTTCCGGGCACGCGCGATACGCCAACCTGGTTACCTACCGCTTGTAGACTGGCTTCGTTTCGTCGGGAGATGAAGGTGGGGTGGGGTTGGAGTCCGGTGCTGTCGTCGACGATTCTCGTTAACGTTTGGCTGTACTTGCGTCGCGTGATGGCACGACGGGGGTCTGTTCCTCGCGGATCCTTATCGACGCCTCCCAAGACAGGAGAAACATCTGGGTTGGGAACCCATTCTAGATACCACCATGTACTTTGTATGTTGTATCGAGTCAGACGAATGGGAGGACGCGAGGCAAGGGCTGCTCAGGCCTTATAAAACAATGCCCGCCACTACAACCCAATCGTCGCATCTTCGACTGCAAACCATGGATGGACTGTCGGAGACTTGACTCCCTCACCAAAGTGACGTCGCATTGTGCCAGATCGGCAAGCATAAGGTAGGATCACGAGGTCTAGTGTCTCTTGGGTATCACTTCAGAGCCGACCACCTTTAGGTAAACCTGATCCAAAGGCCGAAACGGATCTTGCAGTATGTGTTTTCGGCGGACAAAACGATGGGTTGGAGAGTCGTTGTCGCCCTCATGAGCCCTAGCGATTCTGTGAGGGCAATCCTGTAGAGAACTCGTCCAGTCTTGGGAAATTAACTGTCAATCACGCTGCGGTTGGGCTCTTTGCATGCCGGGTGACATCGCATGGATGCTTAGGTGCGCTCGAACCTCCAGACCCGGGGTACCATTAACCGTGGTTGCAGGCGAAAGGCTGCGGCAAAGTTGACGTCGAACAGAAGCCAGTAGCTACATCGTAGATTCTGTTACTCAAAGAGTGGGAGCCAAAGGCAGCTGGTCAGCCATTTGGACACCCTGGGTGATAGACAAGTAGGTAGGTAGGTAGATAGTATGTAGTTGTTCTTTATGTGATTCACATCTCAAGGACCAATGAGCAGAGACATGACCTGGTAATGTGTGTTATCTCGGCGTGAAGATGCAATGGAGGACAGGGGAAACAAGGGAAGCGACCTGAGCCCAGCGTCGCAAGCGGATCGACATGATTGATGGTGATATGCTTTGGTGATCAGATCAGCGCTGTCTTGTTGACCGGGCTCATGCCAGCTCGGGCGGCGCAAAACTTAGTGAGTTTGGAAGGAGGATGTCACGGTGCGATGGAGAAACGGTAGCGCTTAGGCCTAGAGGTCCTAGCAGCAAGCGTATCAAAGTTTCCATAGTGACGGCCATCTTGGGCCAATGATCAAGAGCACCCATCTGATGGATGAAGATGCGTCGCTGGTTTGTGTGTGTGTGTGAGTGGGTGAGTGAGTGAGTGGGTGAGTGGGTGAGTGGGTGAGTGAGTGGGTGAGTGGGTGAGTGAGCGGGTGAGTGGGTGAGCGGGTGAGTGTATGTACTGAGGAGGGCGGCAGTTAAGTCAAGGAGTAAGTAGAAAACCAATGTGAGCCAGCCAGCATTGAGAGATATTAAGACGAATCAAAGTTGGGCCGATGTGTGAGAGGCGCGGAAGCCTGATAGAAGCTCCAAGCAAGATTGTTTCGGTCTGGGGGGCGGGGGTCGGGCCCGTGTTGCCGCGAAACTTTGGCTACCTATATGCAGTCAATACACTACTGTAGGGTGAGCCCAGGCTTTTTACACGTGACTGTAGAAATCGGTTCCATGCCATATCCAATTGCTATTTGAATGTCATATACACGTACCTAGACGCATGATGGACCCCCATGCTGTCATAATGATGGAACCACCAAGGCAGCTTGCGCTCCTGGGGTGCAGGACGTGTACGTAGTTCCCTAGTTGTTGCGTTATTGAAACGGGAAAGTTTTGAGGGGCTCAAAGCAGTTGACTGCAGTTGGTCCCCGGTCACGAAGTACAAGGGTTACGATCACTGGAGCTCGCCTCTGAGGCGTATTATTGCCAGATAGTGAGGTATTCGTTGCGAATCCCGTGCCGCCATACCGCGTCCCACTTGGTGCTGCGCACACCCAACTGCACAGTGGTACGATTCAGTTTGCCTATCTTGGATACTGGGATCTATCGAGGTTTGCCGTTAACCGGATTATCCAGCTACAATGCTCGAAAAACGGGTGTTTCCACACCGAATCGATATCGGGCTTCGTATATCCGCAATCGGTCCATTTTCACGACGAAACCAATGGTAGCCCGCTGGAGGCTCCCATTCCTGCCCCAGGCTGCTGGCAACACCATGGTGGCAGTCTGACTGCCTTGTATCGTGCGGACTGAATGCGGTGGTCAATGAGGAGGTGCGTATGCTGTCATACAATGGAGCGGCCATGGTTGCCTCGATAGACAGGTTGAATGACGGCGTGTAGACCTTGGTATGTGTGACGCATGGTAGCCAGACACTCCAGGGTGACTGACGACTGGCAATGGTTGCTGCGAGGTAACCATATGACTGCATCTCAGTCTGCATCATCGATACCAAGAGGAAACTCTAGGCGATGTTTTGTGTCCCGACACGAGGGAAGAGGGCATGTTCTGCGTTCCAAGGGCTACGCCCTTGCATCTTTGCTGTTGTAACACACAGACACGTTGTCTTTGTCAGATGCCAGGTGCGGTAGGTGGAAAGCGAGGGCGAGTGTAGCATGAAGCGCTGAAAATGTCGTTACCAAGATTTGGGGCGCAAGTCGAGAATCGGGTTGTGTATACGGATAGAGTGAGTGAACCGAGCATGAGCGCACAAGGATTGGTTGCGACTGAGTAGCATGCGAGCCGCACTTTAAGCATAATAACTGTCGTCGCGATGGTCATCTGCTATCTGCACACCGGATGTACACATCTACGTCTACGTGGGTAGCCTGAAGAGGCTTAAACTGCTGTGAGAAACAGGTTACAAGCCGATAGATAGATGAACCTGTAGCACGAATACTGCATATACATTGTAGTATCTGTAGGCGGCAGCGATATACCCTCTCTAGGGCCCTTCGGTACAAGATACCAGGACCAGGGGGTCGCCGGATGTCGCAATAGGTAGGCGATGAAGAAGCCGAAATGCTTTGGGTAGTGCTCCGTCCCCAGACGAGAGACTCATCTTTAAAGTCCGACCGTTTGTTGTATGGCTCGTGGTGAGGTAGGAGAAGAGATGCAGCATTCATCGCTGACACTGTACCACACTGTATGGATTCGCGCGGATCGTGCAGGGAGTGAAAGAACGAGCAGCGATATGGATGGCCAAAGCTCCCCCCCCCCCCCCCCCCCCCACCGCGACCGCGGGGACCCATCTACAGAACCCCCCTAGCTACATATGGCCCTGTCTCCGAGCCAGGTCATCGTCAATCTTGGTGTGGCGCTAGACAAGGTACGGTAATTGAGGTGCCCTCTTACAAGGACACGGACTCTCTGTCTATCCTGGTCTTGAAGACAATTGCGGCTGCTCTTTCGTGTTTTCGCAGGTTACGCACGACATGTTTCTGGAACGACAAACAAATGAGCGCAAACAAGACGAACGCGACGTGCGGACCGGTAAATCCCACACACTTGTCAGACGTATGTGTCACCAGCAATGGACCGAGGCAGTTCCGCAAACACGTTCGCTCGGAAGAGCATTCTGGAGCTTTCCCGCACGGCAATTTCCATCCCCGGCTCTTCACAGCCGATGATGTATTGTATTGCGTAGTCAGTGACGCTTCTGGGCAGGCCGTCGGCAACCAACCAACAACCTCTGGACGCAGCGCAAGCTTGGAGAAGCTCAACGAGTAGACATCGACAAGCTGGGGGGGGATGCAGCAGGCCAGCGGCTCATCTCACTCACTGTCCCATGTAATTAACACAATTAGCAGTGTGGGGCCGTCGAACCTGGGAAAAGCGACACGTCCTTTTTTCCATTCAACATTCAACATCCTCCTCCCATGTCAATTTTCTGCGTTCGCAGATGAGACGATTGATGGGCCGGGGGGGCTGGACCAGACGTCGCGATTAGGCGGCGCAATACGGATATTGAGGGTAGAATAGTCTCATGAATGAAGTAGTGCTATAGTGCAGAAGA